AGACTCCAGCCATTACTCTAAGTGAGCCGATAAGCTCCTTAATAAATCAGACTCCAATGGTAAGGCTGGCAGTAGAGACAGTGTCTCGTGTGATAGGAAATAAAGGATGAGGCCCAGTCACTCTCTCCATCGGTGCTGAATAATAATAATATACCCAAGTAGTTGAATGCACAATTAATTTTGGCTCCTAGTAGTTGTAATATACACACTCCAGCCAATTCCCAGAACAAACAGAGTGAGTTGACTGGTTTTGTCCCCATTTTCACATGATGGAGCTTGGTCTCAGAGGAGTTTTTCTAAGTTCCAACAGCTACTCAGTGTCTCCAATTGCATTGAACTTTGAGAATTTAAACTTGATTTAATTAATTACCCAGTTTTTTAAATTCCCAAAAGATGCTATCTATACCTGTTGAATTTTTATTTTATTTTTATTTCTACTTTTTGTACCTGTTTAATTTTAAAATAGCAACTCACTGCCTTCTATTTTGTATAATACTGGCTTAAGTACAACTTTACAGTCTTTCCTGTATACCATAAGCACCTCCAAAATCCCTGCATTTTGACTGGGCAGGCGTTTGGGGAATGCTGTGAATGAACGAACGCTGGTGTGTGAGGCTCGCGGGCCTGGCTGGAAACGACTACCTGCTTTACGTGGGCAAGTCGGGACCGGTGCGGGAAGGCGTGAGCCCTAAGGCCCAGTTGCCGTCACCATATCTATACAAGCAGAAGTAACCCTCTGTGTTTTTCAACCAAAGCAGAAGAGAAAAATTTTAGAGTGATTATCATGCTCAATTATGAAAAAAAAATGCATGCTGATTGTAGATAACTAGAAAATGAAGAATAATACGAATAAGAATATTAAAATAACTCCGAATTCCAGAGATGTGTTCTCCCAGTCATTGTCTTCAAAGGTATTATACATACACAATTTACATAGCTGTAAACATATATAGTGTTATAACCTAGGTTTTCACTTTTTATTATGTCCTTTAAAATCTTTTTTAAAAGGTGCTTGTCAGTGGTCTTGTACTTTCCCTAAATGGAGGGGCCATAATTTATTATTGGACATCTAGGCTCTGTCATTTTTTGCTATTATAAATAATGTTGTCATGAACACCTTTATAAATCTTTGTGAGCATGACTTTCAAGGCACCATCTGTCCCTTGGAGTCCCTTGATTAGTGACACATACCTCAACTAACTGACGTTTGACACATGGAACTGAAGCTGTATAGCTAGATCCTGTCAAGAAGACAAATAGGGTAGCAGTGACTGCCTTACCCCCATAAAATAGAATAGATACAACTATAATTTTGCAGGCTATTTGTTTGGTTAGAAGCTTGATGCCTCATTGATTCCACACATGATGTATCCCAAAAGCATGAAGGTGACCTTAGAGACAGCCAGACATTTAACATCCAATTAATCAAGTTTCAAGGTATTTGGTGTCCAGCACCAACTGCATATCATGATCTGTCAGACTCTCATTACTCAGAATTGGAATTTAGGAAGGATGTGGGTTAGGTTTAGGTTCTGGGTGCTCTTCTGCACTTGACAGAAGAGATGTGATCTTTAACAAATCTTGGTTGTGAGAGTTGCAGGCTTTTGTAGAGAGAGAAAGAACAGTAAAGTATTCTAAGATTTCATGAGTTTTACCATCGGCTGCTAAAAGGAGGCATTCATTAGCGAGGCCTGAAAGTCTCCTCACCAGACGTTTGGAGTTTAAAAATCATAGTCCTAGAACTCTACTTGCAAGACACCTGAGATCACATTATGGTTTATAGAGGTCTTTAAACTGGGGACCCATTGAGTTTGTCAATATCTTGCAGAATCAGTGCAAATTAAAATTCATATTAAAAAAGGACCTGAATTGTATTTCTGTTATTTAAGATACAAGGATGAATGGTTGGTATTCATCTCTAATAGCCTAAGAGGATAAAGCTTTTACCTTTGACCTAAAATTTATTTAATCATCTAGGACAGTGGTGGAGATTCTAGACCCAAAGTCCAGGTATTTAATATGTTTCAGTTTTGCTCTCTGCTTCATCATCATGGTTTTATTCCTAGCTCTTAACACTTATTATACTAAATTGCTACATTAATATTGATATCAGAGTGTGAAAAATTCAACTGGTAAAGTGGTATGCAGAGTAACCTAATGCAAACTTTAATAGATTAATGCACTCAAAAAATCCTTTGCCGCAAAGGTAGCAGAAGTGGTAAAAAGGGAAGGTTGTTACAAATAAAAGAATAAAACCCTTTAAAGCAATGTGACTAATTTTAATCAAACAATATGAATGTAACAGCTAGAATAAGCCTTTGATTATATCATGGGATACAAACAGAAAACATTTTTGTTTTCACTGATAGTGCTATCCACTGAATTGTGTCTGCAAAACTGGATGTGTTCAAATCCAACCTGTTGTCCCTGTGAATGTGACCCTATTTAGGAATAGTCTTTGCAGTTGAACTCTAAATAAGATCAGCTCATTATAGTGAGCCTGACCCAACGTGACCGCTGTCCTCATAAGACAATGCAAACGAGGGTAGGCAGACGTGCACAGGAGGGAGCCGATGAAGATGGCCGCGTGAGGATGGAGGCAGAGACGGGGTGATGGGTGCATCTTCAAGCCAAGGAAGGCCCAGGATTTCTGACCAGAAGCCAGGAAAGGCAAGAAAGAATTCTACCCTGCAGATGTCCGTGGAACGTGGCCCTGCTGAGACCTTGGCCTCAGATTTCTGTCCTCTAGAACTTTGTGACGATACCTTTCTGTAAGGCACCCAGTGTGTGATTCTTTGTTATGACAGCCCTAGAAAATTAACAGAGCTTTTACTGTGTTCTGCCCAATTCCATTTCTCTCTTGCCTCAAATAAATCTGAGACAGACCCTATAACTTTCTGGTCAGTGTCTGTTTTTAGAAGTTGGTTCAGTTTAAGGCTTTACTCTGAGATCCATTTTGCATCTCATCACCTTCCCTGCCTCCGGGATCAACCAGGCTCCTGGGTCAGAGGGCTTGGAGTGTGGAAGGGACCACGGTTGTGCTGGCATGTTTCCCAGCCCTCCAGCGTCAGAGAGGGGATGAGGGGGCCATGTCTCCTTGGACACCGCCCTCCCCTGTGTCTGCCGCCTCTGGTTCTCTGTGTTGGAAGCGAGGAAGTAGACCAGGTGAGATGCCAGGAGTTGTCTGATATAACAACCCATCATGGGCATCACCTCTGGACTTGTTCTTATTAAATCTGGCTTGACGTTGCTGGTGGTCTCTGTGTTTCCTTCGGGTGATATTTTGCTTTTCTCCTATGTGCTCTACCCCCAGAACTTCCTGAGGGAAGCAGCTGTGTCTCCTTCTGGTGCTTTCTATAGTTGATGTCCAAGATTCAGATTCTCTGTGCTCCTACCACAGAGCCAGGGGACACAGCCAAGTTTTTCCTTCACTAGGTACGCCTTGGGACTCAGGCGGGGATGGGCTTACCCATCTTTGTCCTTCTCACTGTGAAGGGGCACTGGCTGCCCTCAGCCTTCTGTGGCCGGCACTCTCTGAGCAGGAGGCGGTCTTGGGCACATGTCTGGGAGAACTCCCCAGTGTGGCTCGATGCCTCCTATGAACACTGCCTGCTCCCCAGAGGGGCAGCCTGGTAAGTCCTTGCTGTAGGTGCCCTTGTGCCTCACAAATGACACTCTTGAGTCTTTGTTTGCTTGGCTTCTGTGGATCCTTTCAGCAAAGGGAGGAAAAGGAGGCAGGGCGGGGGGCTAGGATTCTCGCAATGGACACTGCATTCACGTGGCTGCAGGCCCTCCAGGCCCCGCCCCCGCCCAGCCCCACTCTGCAGCCTGGAAAGGTGTGGGTGCTGTGATCTGTATAGAGCAGAGCCAATTCAGTCCTGAGGAAACAGGATGCAGTCGTTGGTGGGAGTATTCAATGCTTCTTTGTCCTCCCTCTGGGGTCCTGGGAACGCTGCACACCTGCACCACACCTGTGGTGAGAGAGGAGTGGGGTGGCGTGGCTGGGGCAAAGGTGGGTTACTAACTCTGGGGAAAAGGAAAATGCCCACTCAGTTTCCATTACACCAGAAAATATATTTCCTATTGCTAGGTTTTTTTCCTTTCTCGTTCTCCTTTGATATTGCAAGATGTTTTAGATTTTGTCAACATCCTATGTTTAGTGAGATGGAGGAGGAGCTGCCTTTAACGTGTGTGTGTATGCGGTCTACTGGAGGGGCTGCCAGGTGGCTGTGGCTTGTAGCCCCTCCCACTGGGCAGGAATCCCAATGAGTTTTAGAGGAAGGGAATCGGCTGCCTTCCACTCACCTGCTTGGAGACAGGCTGGCTAAGGTTTTGAGATCCATTACTAAATCAGGACTAGCTGTCTAGTGACTCCACTTGGAAACTAAGTGTTCAAAAAATGTGACCCCCTGATCATCATGAGCAGTGCTACCTGGAAAGTTCTCAGAAATACAAATGCTCAGGCCCCACCCCAGGCCTGCTGGACCAGAAACAGCGGGTGGGTCGCAGGCATCTGTATTAGCAATGTGGTGCTGATGCACCCTAATATCTGAGGACTGCTGTTCCAAAGACACTTCTCTTCCCCGATGGCACTTGAGACTCCCTAAGAAATGGGGGTCTACTTAGTACTGCCTAATATGAAAGGTATGATGTACTTTAAAAATTATTCCTTGAAAATTCTCCGATGATTTTTCTATCTAGTACATTGGTTTAAAAACTTGTGATGTACTTTAGTTGAGGCCAAGAGAATCTCTTTTCTTCTTCCTAAGAGACAGGAACTGCAGAAATTTATTAACTACTCTAAACAGACAATTTCCATTTGAGTCCAATCATCCTTACTGTGATGCTTATTACTATTGGAATATTTCCTTGCATAAGATGAGGCTTAAGGATAAGACTCGCCCTTCCCTGCATTATTCTCTCCATAGCAATTATCACCGTTGAACATACTCTATAATTTGTGTGCTTGCTTTATTTTCTGTGTGTCTTCCTCCACATGAACATGAATTTCACAAAGGCAAGCAATTTTTCTTGTTTTATTCACTGCTGTTTCACCAGCACTTTAACCAGTAGTTGGCACACAGTAAACATTCAGAACTATTTGTTGAATGAATGCGTGAAGGTTTGCTCCCAGGAACGTACTTTACAAGTTGTTGTAGATTTCTATGTTTATTGACTCATTGACAAAAATTATGGAGTTTTTTTCTTATTCCTACTTGGGGAGGATGCTTAATACCACAGGCTTCCTAAGGTCCTCGGAAGTGCTATCATTTTAATGCAACATGAACAGAAGTGTTTGCTAGGTTGATGTGAAAGGTGTTACCTAGGGATGTGCTATAGGGTGTCAGGGCTGGACCTGGAGTGGGGCCCAAGGCAGGAGGGGCCAAGGCAGGAGAGGTGGGGAGAATAAGGATAAGAAACTACACAAACAAATTTGTCAGTAGCTTCTGGGCATGCCAGTCTGCTGTTTGCACAAGAATGCCCTTTTGTAAGGATTCGTTTTGGACAGGAAATCTGTTTATCAGCAACTGTCTCAGGCCACACATGCCCCAGGATGCAGGATTTCCACTTTCCTCTTGGCACATCTTACAGTTCCTACTTCACAGATATTCACTGTCTTACTCCTTGTTGATGATCCCATCCTGACGCAGTAGAGCTGGTCTCCACCCTTGATGCACTGGGTGGGCAACATACAGACACATTTGGAAGTGGAGGCTGCAAAGAGAGAGAGAGACCATGTGACTCACCATCGTACTCAGGGTTGGCTTTGACCTAACTTGTCTGCAGAGTGGCAAGCTCCTGGGTGGCATAAATGAGAAAGCTGAAACAAAGACAGTGACCCAAAATACCAGACTGAGGCTGAGGGGAGTGGCCTGGGCGCAAGGAGCAGAAGGCACAGTAAGCCAGCAAGACCCAGTGGTTGCGTTGCGCTATCTCTGACCCCGCCTCCTGCTCACTGCCCTCATCCAATCCGTTCCATCCTGCCGGTCCATTTCTACAACGTCTCCAGTTAGTCCTTCCTGGCCCTTTCTCAGGGGCACGGCCACAGTACACTTGTCTTTATCATTATTGAACATGTACTGTAAACCCCACATAGTATGCTGAGCACTTTACATGCTTTATTTCACTTAATCCTTACAACAAGCATATGAAATACATGTTAGTGCACTGATTATACAGATGATGAAACTGAGCTCAGAGATGTTAAGTGATCTGTCCATGAACCCACACTAGTAAGTGATGAAGGCAGGTTTTAAAACCTAAATGACTCATAGGCCTGAACTCTTTAGCCTAACTCTCTGTATTTGTTTATTATTTCTTTCTAGGGTATTCCTTGATTATGCCAGTTAAATTGGGTTATTCTCTTATGAATGAGGCCGGGCTTCAGAACGACCTAATCACTTCATCATTCATATATATCTTGTGTTTATGAAATAGTATTAAAATAATCACTTAGGCATAGATCTTGTATCATAGAAATATACACATGAAACCTATGTAATGCTATTAACCAATGTCACTCCAATAAATTTAATAAAGAAAAAAGTCATTTAGGAATAAAGTTACCAAAGCCAAGTATATTAAATCACAGACTCATTTATCTACATACATGTTTTAATCAAAGTTCAAGGCCCTTCACAGTTAGGCCTCAGCTTCCCTTTGCAACGTTACCTTCCCTGCTTTCTCCATTCCAGGTAGAGTAACCTATTTCTCTCCTCCCAAAGGTGTTCCCATCTTTGTCCTTTTGCCCATACCATTCTTCCTCCTTTTGTGTGTGTGTGTGTCAGATGAATGTGCTTTTTCTTCCTTTCCCCAATGTGTCCAGTTTCTACAAGTCTAACCTCCTCCATGAAACATTTCATAGTCACTTACCCCCACATCAGTCTTTTATTTAACTGAACTTTAATGGTAAATGGTATAAACTTGTCAGTACTTTATCTGACATCCTCATACTTTCTCATTAGTTGGCTTCTCATATGTCTTTCTCCCAGGACAATTTCAGTGCTTTGTTTGAGAACGGTAACTGTGGCCTATCCATCTGTGTGTCCCACTCAGCTCTTACAGTGACACTCAATTAATTTGCCTCATCCATTGATTTCAAATTCTGAATTTGAGGTGCAGCTATACATATTCAAAAAGAAATGTATTTGATGAATCTGGGGTGACTCATGTTGCCAGAAGAGCTGAGTCCGCCTGAGAATCAGCAGTGATTTCATTAATGAATAGTTTCTTTTAGACACATATCAATTCTAACCCTTGTGTTTCAACTGATGGAAGGAAGTAGGGAAAGGAAGTGGGGAGATACTCATCTGCATAGGTTCTGCCCTTGGTAGGAACATTTCATGAGGAAGCATGCATTTCCTTTCTGCGTCCTCTGCCAACCAGCGAGAGCAGATTCTAGATGAGGAGAGCCTTGTCCATTGTTGGAAAGGACGGGCATGACGAAGGGCAGGAGACTGTTCCACCTCCAGAGAGGCCGCCGTCACCACTATTAGGGTAGTGACGGTGTCAGTGCTTTGGGCAAGGTTACTTTCAGAGGCCCAGCACCAGAGGCCTTCCCATCACCTCTGTCCACTCAGCCTTCAGCACTCAGTTCCAGTGCTTTCGACCCCATGAGACCCCTCCAGGCCAGGCGATACTCCTCTGTCCTACAGCTCTCGTCACACGTGGCCGTGCATTAAAATTACTCATGCAATAATCCTGTAAAGTTGCTCCTCCAATTATGGTGAACAGTGTAAGTGTTTGAAGTCCTTTAACTTCAGACATCTCATCATACTTTGTACAGTGACTTCCACATATTGAATAACAAATGGCTATTTGCTGAATAAATTGCTCCCTCTTGTTGGTTGATCGTGAGTATTTTTGAAATTTAGACAAAACACTTACTATTCATAAAAACAGGCTCCTCGCAAAATCATTTGTATTCTAAATTTTGAAAAGTGAACTTCATGTTACTCTGAAGTTCAGTTTTAAACTTTTTCTTATTTCATTTTAGAAAGAGAAGAAAATGAACAGTAAAGTACACAGTAAGCGAGAACATGATTTAATCATGGTGACATTCAATTCAACTCAAGATGAATAATCTCCCAACTTGCCAGGAGTAGGGTAGGTATGAAATGCATTTTTGACTTTGTCTTTCTTTATAAAGGCTGTTTTGTACATGGGGGCTGTTCTGTATTGCCACCTGAACTGCATTCCCTATGATGTTGACTTTTGCTCTCTGAGTACAGAAGGCTGCCAGAGGCCACCTGTATCTCCTGGGGGAAGATGCTTCCCATTTTCTGATTGTGTGTAGGGTCAAAGAATTCTTTAAGTGACATAAATCTCTTATTAAGAAATATTTATATTTTAGTGTGATTATCCCAAGACGTTCTGCTAACTTGAACAAAATTGGTATATTCAAATATTTTACAGTTTTTCTTTTAGGTAAACTTAGACTCCTGGGATTTAGCTGTATATAAAACAAAGAACTAATAGTAAAGGCAGATTTTTGTGAAATTGTAAGCCACAGCTTATTTGTTACTCAGATTTGAAAAAGAATAATTTGTGGAAAAATGGCAAAAAAAAAAAAAAAAGTCCTTTGCAATAGTAGCATTCCCTGCAGACCTTTTCTCTGTGATAAATTAGGAGGAAGGCGAGTCAGCACTAAACACAGCCCTGGAGGCCTGAGCAACCTGTTATTGCACAGACACAGACCATTATTATTTGCTCTTCTGGCCAAACTCCTTTTATTTTCTGTGTGTATTTTTGACAATACTATTCTTACAGTAGAGTTTAAAAAAAATGCACATTTTAAATACAAAATGGTGTTGCAGAACACCCTCAGCTTTTTTCTACCCCAAATTATTGTTTCTGAGAGAGACGGCGGCTAGATAGCAGCGTTGGTCAGGAGGTGGAAGAACAAACAATCGCGTTTATCTATGGAGCGACCTGGTAGTGGTTAGCAGAAGGCAATGCACAGCGTGGGCCCTGGGCTGCTGCCTCCTGCAGTGGGGTTGCCTTGTTCAGAGACGGCTCAGGGGCTGGAAGCCCCTGAGTTGCCACCATCAGGTGGCCCGCTGACTGTGGCTCCTGTGTCTACCCTCTGCCACGAGTTCAGTCCTGCCACCTGCCGAGGGAGCCGATCTTGATCCCTAGCTTTCCGTAGATCAGGATGAATCTTTATTTGGGTAAGAGGGACCACTCCCCTTTTCCAGGACTGAGTGGAAGAACATTGGGCTGGAAAGTGAAACGGGAGTCAAGGGGAACCATAAGGTCTCCCCTCAAAAGTAAGATGGTGTTAGCAAACATTAGATGTAACAACTGAACAAGCTTTTATTGCATACTTTATGCCTCATTTTAAGGTAAATTTTTGAAGAATGTCACAAGAGAAATCTAGCTGCCCCTTTGAGTTCTGTTAAATTCTAGTCTCCAACCCAGACTTATGTATTATACGAAGCTAATTTGGGCTATTTCAGGGTCAACCTTTATCTCAGAGCAAATGCACTGCTGTGGAGTTTCTGCTTCCAAGCAAGTCGCATATAAAATGCAAATAGCCGATACACTTATGAAAATGGAAGTGGAACACCACTTCCTAAGAACCGAATTGGCAGAGATACAAAGGCGTAGTAACCCCGGGTTTGGTGAGGGTGCGGGAGGGGCGTATTTATCACACATTGTACAGGGAAATATAATATAGTAAAAATATTTCTGGAAAGCAAGTTGATACAACAGACTTTATCATTTAAAATAGTATTTAACTAGAAATTCCATTTTCTAAGGTATACCCTAAGGAAATAATCTTACATTATAGATTTATCTGTGATAAGTTTGTCTTTCACAGCACTGTTTACAATAGGAAAACACTGGGACAAATCTAAATGCCCAGCAGAAGAGTAGTTAAAGAAACCACAAAATGTCCATGCAGGTTTTTGCAGACATTTAAAAATATGTAGTGGAATAATATATGATGACAGGGAGTTTCATGATATAAGTGAATAGCAGCAATAGGTGAGATAATATGTAGAGTATGATTTGATTTGATTTTTTAAAAATTTGTAATATAATCAGGGCCAGCCCTGGGGAACATTTTTCCCTGGGACGCTTCTCTGTATAAAGGATGACAGTCACTGCAGCTGAGTGTCAGCGCCGTACGAGCCATCCTGGGAGCAACCACCCTGCAGGCAGGCGCTCTGCAGGCTGCCCTCGGGAATGGGAGTCTAGCTCTGAGCCAGGGCTGGCTCTATAGACTGCACTCCTTAGGACATCTTGTCGACCCCATGCAGGGTAGGGGAGAGAAGCGGTAGAGAGCCCGAGAATGTTCCACAGGGAGAAAGAGTGTCCGAGCCCCTGAGGGATCCTGTCTGGGTTCAGGGTGTCCTGCCTGAATAATGCTGCCAGCCTTGGCTAGGGCCAGGCACTACAAGAGGACATAAAAAAAAAAACCCATAAAAAACAAGGAAGTGCCTTGGCTGGTATGGCTCAGTGGACTGAGCACCGGCCTGTGAAACAAAGGGTTGCTGGTTCAATTCCCAGTCATAGCACATGCCTGGGTTGCAGGCCAGGTCCCCAGTAGGGGGTGCATGAGATGCAACCATGCATTGATGTTTCTCTCCCTCCCTTCTCCTCTCTTTAAAAATAAATAAATAAAATTTAAAAAAAAACAACAAAACTGAGGAAGCTGCTTCAGCAATTGGTGTCAATGAGGAACCCAGTCTAGGCCCAGAGCACTCACAGAAGCTGGCCTCAGGCGGTCCCCAATGCCAAAGGGAACCTTAGACAATGTTGACACATGTCCTCCAAGGCTGGGGGTGGGGAAGCGTGCCTGGTGCAAGCAGTCAGGGTGGGGACTCTCCTTCCTGGGCTCTGACAGTGCTGCTGATGCTGTACCCATAGAGAGACTAGAAAGATTTACCTCAAAGTGGTTAAAGCAGTTATTTCTCACTGTGGATGGGTCATATTTTTCTTATCTGTTTAAAACACTTTCTACTTTTTTTTTTTTTTTTTTTTTACACAGAAATGGAATCATTCCAGATTAAGGAAAGGCTCATTTTAAGAGAGGATGCAGAAATGCCAATAGGACGGCTGAGGTGAGTTGTGGGCGAGCGCGTTTCCGGGGGTGCTGGCCCCGGGCTTACCCGAGCACTTCTCCCAGTCGTAGCAGGTGTCGTAGCCGCAGGGCTCCTTCTTCGTGCCATTGAATGAAAGTGTTGTCCTTTCAAGAGCCCAGACTAATTGTGGACCTTCTTGGCAGGAACCGGTATGTAGAAAATGGAATTGCTCATTATTTAAACATTTCCTGGCCAAAAATTCACAAGCTGGTGAAGTAAAGTGATGGCTGGAGTCGGAATCAAGCACACAGAGGTCTTCTGAGTAATGGCTGCCCAAGAGAGGAAAGCAGGCATTTACATGTGAAGACCAGGAAACAAGAAATGGCCTCCAGCTGGTTTAATATGTCCCCTTAACAGCCAGTTATCTTTACCTGGCATGCCCCCCGCGCTCCGTTCCCCAGTTTCTCTTCTCTCCACCCCTTTGCATGCTCTGGGATTCATCTCTCCAAAATGTCATCTTAGCCTTGGTATCGCCCTTAATGCCTTTGAATTAAAATCTGAATTCTTCAATTCTGGTCATGAAGATCTTCCATATTTTGACCCCAATCAACTTGCCTTTCTAGAATTATTTTCCCATCCCCTTAATCTTTCTTTATCACCTGACAATTGTATTGCTCATTTTTTAAACTGTTAAGATTATTCCTTGCCCTGGCTGATGTCGCTCAGTGGACTGAATGCCGGCTTGTGAACCAAACAGTCGCTGGTTCGATTCCCAGTCAGGGCACATGCCTGGGTTGGGGGCCAGGTCCCCAGTTGGGGGGCGGTGATGAGAGGCAACCACACACTGATGTTTTTCCCCCCTCTCTTTCTCCTTCCCTTTCCCTCTGTCTAAAAATAAATAAATAACATCTTTAAAAAATAAAAAGGATCATTCTTCCTTTGCTGCCATCCCATGCTCTGCCCGAACAGCATTGTGTAGTCTCTCCTCTCTGCCTACCTGTGTCCAACTCAATCCCTGTCTACATTTTGAAAATAACCCCATTGACCTTGCCTATGGCAGTGTGCACCTCTTCTGAACTCAGTAACAGTCATTAATTGCAACACCAGAATCGTGTATCACTATTGAACTTTGCACGTGCGTTTGTGTTATGATTAAGAGCATGCACTTTTAAATTATTCTTTGTTACCTTGCTTAATCTCTCTAAGTAAGTGATGGGTCCTGTTACCAAGAGGTACCCAGTGGCGATAGCCCTTGTTTTACTGACAGGACAAGAACTCCTTGGTTACTCCAAATCTGAGTCTCTTCTCTGATGTCAATTTCAGAGTTAACAATCGGTGGGTCAGCATGCAAAAGTGTTTTCAGGAACTAGAGCCCATAGCTGAGAAGAAAAGGCCACTCACTAAGTTCAGAGAACTTAGGCTGCGGGGCCAGCCCCTTCCACCAGCTCCTTCAATGCCATAGAAAGAGAACTGAGGACCACAGACAGAGGCTAGGGAGGGAGGGAAGAACTAGAATTCAGACAGTTCTGGAAGGCAGTCTGTGTTCTTATGGTTTGGTATTGCAAAGATGAAGAAAGACGTTTCCTGTGGGTTTAATGGGCAATATGAATGCTGTAAGCACTACCCATCATGCCATGTGCTGGGTGAGAGACTCCAGGAGCAAGAAGCTGTGTGGTGGACCACGTATGGACAATGAGGAGGGTAGGCAGAGCCCGCTGGGCAGAATTATGTCAGTGAATCATACAGACAAAGATGCTGTCATGTCTGAATGAATGAGTCCCTACATGTGCACTTGCAGCACAGAGGAACATGAGAGCTAGTCTCTATTTGAAGTGAAGTGTAACGACTGGGCACAGTCTATGGGCTTCTTACTCCAACATTCATTCTTTCTCCTCCTCAGTCATTTAATTTCATTCACAAGTGCCTGCACATCCAGCCAAAGAACTGCATTCACAGCCTCCCTTGAAGAGACATGTGGCCATATGGATAAGAGAAGATTAAGGAGCTGAAAGCAAGTGATGGGCCTTTCAGAACTTTCCTTAAAAGAGAGACTGTGTCTGTTTTTGGTTTTGCTTCCCTCCTGGTCCAGCAGAGCAATCTTGGACGAGGAGGTAACTGTGGGACGGCAGGCCAGAGGGCGGCAGGAGCTTCAGTGCTTTCTGAAACAAGTGAACCACCAAGCTGGCCCTAGACGGCCTACCTCTGGGTGTGTTTTGTGAGAGAGAGAGAAATAAAATCTTACCTTAAACTAATGATGTTTTGGATTAAACTCAGCTGAAAGTAGCCCCTCAATTAATAAGTGCCCTCGACCCTCCTGGGTTTGTTCATGAAAGAAAAGGCAGTTATAACAACAAAGATGTAATTTTTATTCTTCATGCTTTCTGTCTGTGCATGAAAAAAATAAACAGACAAAGGAGGGGGGGTCTGTGTGTGTGTGTGTGTGTGTGTGTGTGTGTGTGTGTGAGAGAGAGAGAGAGAGTTCCACCCCCACACCCCTTTCTCCAAGCTTTTGGAGTTAGGACTTGGCCCTATACTTTGGGAAAGAGGAAGACTTTGAGATAATTGAATCTGAAGTTTTAAAATAGAAATAAGTCTTTATAATAAAAACAAGGCTGTTTAAATAAACAATGTCCATGAAAACTCATGGAACTGAGCTGAGAGATGATGAGAAAGCTTGTAACCAGTGGCAAAGAAGGAATTCAACTGAACATAGAAGTGATCAACTATTTGAAAAATTAATATATTTCATGTTTGTGCCTCAAGAAGCTCAGCTGCTCCATCCAGCTGGCTACAAGAGACTGGTCTTCCCAGTTTCCAAACAGTCTACAGAGGATCTCTTACCTACAGTCTTCTTCTGGTGACATACAAACACATCCAGATTCTGATTCTTTTTGTCCTGGTTGACAATTGCCTTTTAAGTTGCTCAGAACATCTGAAAGAAGAGCAAACTGAGTAAAGAACAGTTCACAGTATCGATTCCATGTGATAAACCTGAATTTAGGAGCAAAGGCAATTTATCTCTTGCAGTCAGAGCACTCATTTTGGTTTTTCCAAACAAGCTGTCATGAAATATTCCATCTGAAAGGCCCTTTCTAGCTCTCATGAGCTGTCATTTTCCAACCTATTACTGATAGTAAGTTCAGATAACTAAAGAAAATAGAAATTTCTGTTCATTTGTTTTTTAAATATGTATTGAGCAACTATGGTATTCCCAGCACTGTATTAGGTTTTAGGGGTGGAGTAGTGAGCAAAATTTTATCCAGGTCTTATGCTCACAGAGCTTATAGTCTTACAGAGGTAGATAGATATTAATAAAAAAATACACTAATACAGCCCTGGCAGGGTAGTTCAGTTGGTTTAGAGTGTCATCCAGATGCACCAAGGTGTGAGTTCTATCCCCGGTCAGAGCCCATACAAGAATCGACCAATAACTGCATAAACAAGCGGAAAAACAAACTGATGTTTCCCTTCCCCCCCCTTCTCAAATCAATAAAAAAAATACACTAATACAAATAGAATTGCTGTCCCTCTTAATGCTATTAAAGAGAAAGCATGTAATCAAAAAAATTTATATAGCTAGGAAGGTTAGAAATGGTAAAATGAGAGAGGAAAAAGGGAAGTTTTCAAAGCATGGGAAACATCAGCTATAAAAGTGCTCAGGAGAGCAGCATGCCACTTTCCTGGAACTGGAGACCAGAGTGATTGAAGTGCATAAAAACAGGAGCATGGAACAAGTATGGCCTTGGGCAGGGTCTTATAAGGCTTTGGAAGGACTGCTGTCCTCACTTTATAAGCAGTGGAAAGTCTTTGATGGGTTTAAGCAACGGGTGGTATGACAAAATTAGGTCTGGATTTTGAAAAAGAAATGAACTCTGGCTGCTGTGTGGAGAATGGAGAGGCATGGCGGTCAGGAGAGCTATGTGTAGACAACCTATGAGGTTACTGTAGTAGATAAAAATAGAGGATATTTCATATTGTGGGTGAGCTATGAGAGCTGTGAGGCATGGCTCTTAGGTGTCTTGTTTGCATAAGAGACTAGACGTGGGTGCTTTAACTGAAACAGAAAATATTAGATGTTAGTTTTAGGGAGGAGAGCATGATGACTCAAGGGTTTCTTTCTGCATATATTGAATGTATGGTGTCTTTAAGGCATCTAAATGGAAGAGATATATAGAAATTTGGATATTCAAGTCTAAAACTCAGTGGAGGAGGCTGTGCTTTACACTTGTCATTAGTATATAGGGGATCATCAGAGATATGGTAGGGATGAGATTCCCCAGCAGGGGAGTGTAGCATGGATGGAGAAACAGATTGGAGCCTTGAGGAACTCCAACATTAAATGCTGGATTTCCTCAAGGCTTCTGCCAAAAATAGAAGGCAATAGACGGAGAGGTAGAATCTAAAGAAGATGGTGTCCTATCTTGGGAACCACAGAAAGAACATATACCCAGACAGTCAACACTGTAGAATGTGGCTGAGAGATCAAGCAAGATGAGGACCAAAATATTGTCCGTTACATTTAGCAATGCAGAGGACAGTGATGACAATTCTGCAACTGGATGTGGGGGAGCAATGACGTGAAAGGCTGATTTTCTTAGAAGAAGAATCAATGAAGAAAAGTAATGTAGCAATTTATGCCTGCATGATATTCTGGGCACTAGGATACTCTGATGAATAAAAACAAACAAACAAACAAACAAAAAAGGATAAAAACAGCAGTGATCCCTTTCTCCATGAATCTAAAGGGTAGCGGGAAGACAGGCAGGCATTAATCATAATCATAGAAATGGGTTCACATTTCAAGGCTGAGACAGGTGTTTTGAAGAAAGAGAACATGGTTCTGGGAGATTACATAAAAAAATACCCCAACTAGAGATGTAAGGAAGATCCATAAGGAAATGACACTTGAGCTAAGATGAGCAAGTGACTAGTATGTACACGAGGAAGGGAAATTAAAGTAGAGAAACTGGCACTCGGGTATATTATAAGGGAGGGGGACTCTTGGTTGTCTTTGCTTACAATAAGGCTCATCCAGAGAACTTTTACGCTGGTTAAGTCGGAGCCTGGAACTGACCCCTGGAGCCTGGGGGATGAAACACTTCCTGGGACTGAATCCGACTAATCTGCAGAACCACAGTGGCCTCTACAAGCAACTCATTGTCAAAGAAGGGCAGGAGGCAGCTATCCATATATTCTGCCACATTAGATGACAGACCAAGAGACCTTGCTCACGGTCCCTCCTCTTAGCTGACTAGGTTAGAAGGTTTGAGAAAGGAAGGAAGTTTATGTTAGAGGTGAAAATAAAGGTTTAAAAAATTGGTAGGTTTTCTTCTTCGCTCCTATTGCCATTTCCTGCCTGTGTTAGGACCCTTGTTGCATCAAGTGAAATTTGGCCCAGGACTTGCATGAACATGGAGACCTACAGCCACTGGTTAGACCTCAGATCCTAAGATTTCCAGGAATATGGGATTGTGTTTCTCTCATTTCTTGTGTAGCTATATCTCCTTGCCCTTTGGAAATAAATTCACGCTCAGATCAGGGAGGGACCCAAAGCCTCACATTGTTTCCAAAAAGAACCACCTTTGAAGGGGCACAGAGCATTACTGTCACTGGGGAGCTGACATTGTCAAGGGTCACATGCAAGGAGTCTCTGTTCTGTCATTGAGAGTCAGGTTGGAGGTGGAGCTGGCCCTCTGTGGCCCACACCCCCCAGGATAGTTGCTGAGCAACGAGGAAATGAGAACATCGCCATGTGCGAGGGGCCAAGGGCAAGGGGATCCGCTGGAGGGGTCAATTCCTCCAAGGAAGGAAAATAGTAATGGTGAGGCATGCAGCATCTCAATTTTTCACGTTGAAAGAACTAAGAGTCCTTCCCTGGCCAACAAATGGCCTGAAGGTCTCTTTACCTCACAGCTCCCCCACACTGAAAGAGTGCCCAGTTTCACTGAGGACTTCTTTTTCTCTTTCTGTGACTTCCTTCATTGATCATTTTTGTCAAAGTTGTTGGAGAAAAAGTATATAGGACAGGATATTGGTTTCCAATAACTAGATGTAGAACATCTCATTATCCTTCAGTTTGGATTATAAATTCAATTTCTTTTTCATACACAGAGTCATGCGCCTGTGCGTGTGTGTACAGGTGCTGTTGTTTACACAGAGAAGAGGATGCCGCCTAAGACGGCCCGAGGATCTTTGCTTTCTGAAGCCCGTGCATCCCAAACATTTCTATCCCTCTCACATGCATAGTTAGGAATCAGTTGAGACCAAGCTACAACATTTACCTAAAAGTTCTTACACATTTTCATGAGATCTTTTCATCAGTAGTTTTAAGGTTATGTAACAGGTTCACTTTTTCCCTTTCGTTCACACATTACCAGAACTCCAGAAGAGGATAAAGAAGACAAGATGGCAAAGAGCCTGGGGAATTAGCACAGGTCCTGCTTGACCCAAACAGTCTGGCCTTGGGTCTAATTTACCTTCTCTGCGCCTTCTGTGTTTTCATAAGCAAGACGGGTTTAATCATTTCTGATCTCAGATACACCCTCAAGGATTCTCTGATTAAAAGTGAGACATTATTTGAACAAGCATGTTGACAAATTTAGAAGACATGAATCCGGAGAAGTTCTGTTAACTGTTTAACTGTCCTCCGTCTAAGTAACTGACTTGCCCGACTGTTCTCGGGTCCCTTGATGCCGGCTGCCTGTCTGACATTGAACTTCAAGACTTACGGTTCCTCTCTTCCAGAGATTCACACTTCTACTCCCACCAGTCGAAAGCCAGGTTTACCAAGAGTCAGTTTGGTTTGTTCCTAATGTGTTTATGCTAGTTGTTGTTGTGAATGTATAAGTTGATTAAATATATCAACTGATGAAATAAGGAGGAAAAAGGGAGCTATTTTTATAAAAACTAAGTAAAAAACTTTGAATGAGTAGAATTTGCAAAATTTTGTTATGAATTAATTGCAAAGGAGAATACTGTGACAGAATAAGAAAAATGTACACAAATTGCAAAGCATTCTCTAGTTAATTTGCTTTCATAGTGCCTTTAAAACAATGCTCATCAACTCTATACACATTTGAGTGAGCTAGGCCAGATTTTAAACAAAGACTGAATACCGGCCCTCAGTCCCCACCCCAGTTTAATGGCATCAGAATCTGGGGATGGGACTTGGGCAGGGTGTTTAAAGACGTGCCCCACCTGAAGTTAAAAACCACTGTTTCGGAGCAACTGGCATGAGATAACATGGTATGGGGTGAATTACATATTTGTTTTCTATGACGAAAACGTCTTGGAACTCAAATTAGGAGACTCATTAGAAATAAGAGTTTGATCCTACATCAGAAAATTGGTGAATAAGTGTGTATTACTATGTTTCAAGTTAAAATAAAATGCGTACAAAATTGAAAAGTAGTACACACTGCTTTTTTTATGGCCCTCCACTTTAACCAATTTTCAGTTAACCATCAATTCGGATTGTATTAGACGAATGAACTTGCACGCCCTCAAAATATTGAAGTATATTGAAAAAGAAAAGTGATCTCAATCTCTCAAATTTGAATATATCCACTTGACCAATTACCTCTCATTTCTGCCTGACCTCTTCACCTACACAGGATGACGTATGACCTCATTATCTACACCGCCTGCCTTGTCCTCCCAAAACACACTCAAGAGGTGGCACCACGGGAGATGCTATACTACCCGTCCCGGGAGGCGCCCCCCTGGCAGACCCAGAGCCCTGAGCTGGTACTCACCATTTTCACAGGTGAGCGAGTTTGAAATGGGCGGGACCCAGGAATCCTCTGTGCACATGTACCTCGATGGCCCAGAAACAACAAAGCCTTTGGGACAAGTTAGGTCAATGGAGTCACCAACTTTGTATGATATGTGAAACGGCGAGAGCGTCAGGACGTCCTGCACGACTGGCTTGAGGCACTGTGTCCCTGCGGTCAGAGAGACAGTTCCAATGCGTTTAGTAGAGCTCAGAATATTCACCGGGTGAAGGCAGATTTCATACAACCCAAGAGGCAATGTTAGTGTGATTTATTGCATTCGCTCTGCTTTAAAGCCGCCCTCTGATCAGAAAACCCAGGGGCTGAGGATCCCAGGCTCCCCCTGCAAACTGCCCTTAGTTTCATCATCTGAGGTTCCCTTGCTAAGGAACTGGCTCCAGCCACTTCCAATTTTCATTGCATCATTGGGACCTCTTCTCCCCTCTTCCTGTTTGCCCCAAAGCAAGTCACCACGCTGTGAGTGATACAGAAGCAGGATATTGTAATTGATGCTCATCTCAATTCTGCCTCATAGGGTCCTATAAGAACTCTGTGGAGTCCCCATGTGAGCTTTGTTTCAATCCCATTTTGACTTTTCTACAGCACAGATATGTGTGGAGCCTACAAACTCATCCTCTCCTCCTCAGGAAAGGATGTGAGCGTGCTCTAAGGAGAAAACTGCAGTTCCCATAAAAATCCCATTTCTGATACATAAAGGGTGTAAGTAAGTATCTTCCTGGGACTCATCCATTTGCATCAATTTGTACACCAGGCAAGGCAGATGTCCCTGGTTAGATGCAGTGAACAGACTTCCCGGATTCGTTTCTAAGCACAGGTTTCACCATCCTGTGTGTATGAGGCTAACACGCAGGGGCAGAACTGAAATGTGAAGATACTTTGAAATCTAATTTTAGCAGATGAATCCTATTTTCTGCTTCACTAAAGCTTTCCACCAGAGCTATTAAAAAGCAGTAAAATTGCTGATCTATGGGTGTGACTATGCTTTATTTATCTTGGGCGCATCCATCCCTTAGAATAGTCGTGCCACAAGTGACTGCCGAGATCTCACGTTGGCATTCCACGTCTAATTGTCTCCAGGTCCTGTCTGGTAAACAGCTGAAGTACTGGTAGCCAACAAGTTTGAATCCGGTATAGCATGCGATTTCAGCATCTTCCCCAACTGAGTACACTTTCTTTTCATTCTAGAATTAAAACCAAAACCAGCAAGTTATGAGTGACACTTATATTTCTGAACACTGTGGCGTCATCCTGGGCTCTTTCTACTCCTTCACTCCTGTTATCTACTCAGTCACAGAGTCCTCTCACTTTCGGCTTTTAAATATCTCTCAACACGCTCCCCTTCCCTTTGCTATCACCACCGCCTTTGTGCGTGGCATTTATTATCTCTTACATGGACGGCTTTCTAACTGGCCCTTTTTCTAATCCAGTTTCCATATTGCTAATCTAAGGTGATTAGGATTTGTTTTTCCTTACAAATTTGCTCCCCTGTATATGGGATGGCCTACTATTTCAACAACAAAACAAAACTACATGCTTCTCCTTTAGCGGCTATAAACTGAATGTACAGTGTATCCTACATATGCAAACATATGCAGTTGCTATGATGACTAATTGGCTACAAATCATTTAAAGGTGTGAATTCCCTGAAGCCATTGGTCATTGTATATTTCCCCAATTATGGGTAATTAAAATACAACTACTGTCATGTATGTGTGTGTTGGGGAGTCACTAAACTTTTCAATATAAAATAATATAGTTGAAAAAAACATTAATTTAAAGGTTTTTTACAGAAAAGTTAAACTAAAAAAAAAGGAAGGGTGATTAGGGAGCATGCCTTTCAATTTTAAATCGTCTCCTGAAAGTTTGTATCTAACACCACACACCTGTCTGACCAGTCTGACCATATCATATTACGGCTTAATGAAAAAATTAAATGATTAATTTATAGTAATTATATTAAAATAATACTGACTAGTTAAGGGTGCTATGGGTTTCTAACTTAAATCATTACAGACGCAACACCTCCTGCAATTATAGCCAAGGCTAGTTTGTCTCTCTGATAACATGCTCAGGTCGGGGATTAGTTTGCTCAGACTCAGAGTTAAATAGTCAGGTTTTAGTTGCAGGTTCTTACCAATCACCCAACCTCTATTATGCTCAAGTTCCATTCTCCATTCATGTGTTCACATATGTGCATTATTAGCATATGAATTAGTGGTGCCAAGTAACATGGGGAACCTGCAACCTTCCACCGGCCTAACGACCAGGCATAAAGGCCTCCCCAGGGAGTTCAAGGTGGAAGAGGGGCCACGCATCTCTGTAGGTCACTTTTTTTACATTTTAAATTAACAGAAGATTATTAAACTAGGAAAACAATGCCTCTAAATTGAAAAAGCTTTTTACTTTTTAAGTTCTAGTTTTTGGATGCCAAACCTGAAGTGAAGGTCAGGATGCTTACTCGGATAAATCCATTCTCCGGAGGAACGGGCTGAGGACACCCTGTGTCTGATTCTATGTCAGGAAGGTCTACTTCTCTTACATATTCATCGTCATTGATACATACTTGTCCACTAAGAGGGAAAAATAAACATTGTATATAATATAATAAACATGAATATATGTAACACATATTTACATGTCTATGTATATATGTAGGTGTATACCTACAGACACATTATATGAGTGTATATATAATACATGCAAAGAAGAGAGGAAAGAGTAACAGCAGATGCAATACCTCACTAACATGCTGCGCTGGCACAGGGAAAATTCTAATTATTTCTTTATTTAGCAGTACGGTACCAACCCCTCCCCTGCCTGTGTTAGCGGGTGACTGGCCCATCCTTTCCCGCCGCGCATCTGCCTCCTTACTTGTTCTCCATTATTGAAATCGTGCAGGGCTCCTCTTGCCGACTCTCCCCCTCGCAGGGTTTCCCTCCGCGCTGGGGGGCCGGGTTGTTGCATTCTCGCCTTCTCGACCTCTTATACGTGACGTCGCACTGGCTCCAGGAAGACCAGCAGCCCCAGTTCCCATCCACCGCATCTGGAATGCAGGAAGACCCGCCCACCCATCACGGTGCACCCGAGAGAATGTGGGCTCAGGCCCTTGGATAACTTGGTTTCCCCACTTTTTAGCTGTATGACCCTGTGAGGAATATTGCTGGGTTATTGGGAAGGTAAAAAGAAATCAGGGCCTGACCCCGTGCCTGATTTCCTTTTCCTGCTCCCTGGGCCTGGATCAAAGGGCAGCCATTATGAATCATTTTCAACTATCTGCAAGGTATGGCACACACATGTATATGCATATATCTATGTATAAAGACGAACTTCGTCTGAATACAGTATACGTCAAACCAGGTGTTTAAAGGCAATGGAATATTTTCTTACTCCCAAGATACATCCCCTTTCTAAGAAGAATTACAGGTAACCAGGAACATTACTTAGTCCCGTATGAGAACTTGGGTTCTGGCTTAATTTATCTCTAATACCGAGCTGTCTTCATTTTATATTACAATACATGAAAAAGGCTTATAATAATACTATTGCATTTTTTATTGTATAATATTTTTTATTATTTTATTCATTTCATGTTGCCGGCATCGTGCTGTGTATCCTTTACATATATGTGAATATGTATATGTACATACACACACATATGATACATCTTTGGATACATTAAATGGATGAGCAGATGGAGGCAAAGAGAGGCTTGGTGGCTTTCCCAAGGCCACATCACTTGTAGGTCACAACAGATGCATTCCAGGGCCGTTGAACCTTATCATCTAACTTTTTTCAGGCTTATTTTCCTCCTGTGTTTGCCTAAGGTAGAAGATGCTAATAGAAAGGTGTTTTTGTTTGAATGGACCAACCCCGTATACCTTTTGGAGAGGAAAAGGTACCTGCCTCACAGTCACTTACTGACACTTACCGGATTTATAATCTGGGGCACGTTTCTCACAGTTGTCGCCGTAGGTGCCACTCTGGCACACACACAGGCACTCGGTCCCTGAGAGGGTGGGCCGGCCGTTGTTTGGGCATGGAGCGCACTGGCAAGGATCAAACTTGGCTGCATACTCTTGGAAAGCTTTCCTGAGGTTGTTCCGCCTGGTCACGGCACAGGCAATGTTTCTCACCAAGTCTGTGATGGGAGCAAGCTAAGAGCAAATGGCAGAGGGGAGGTCTAGTCACAGCGTCATCCCTTTGCATATGTTGCCATCACTGCCCAATTCTCATGGAACAGGAGGCAAGGCATGGAAAACCTAACGCTTCAGAGGGGTTGTGGCAGAATACAGGGCATCTCAGTTGCACCAGTGGAGAAAGGGGAGGGCAGGGGCGTTTCCTTCCCTTCTACAGCGGGCATGGCAGCTCCCAGCAAGACTGGCTTGTTTCTCTACTCCTTAAGGAAGGGCAGGTGTGAGGTATATGGAGGCTCCTATCCCTGAAATTCTACTATGGAGGAAGCCCCACATGAGGTGTTGCTTACTGGGACTTGCATCATATTATTTATTAAGCACCAAACGCATGCATCCAAGTACTGAGAGAGGGGACCATGAGTTAGGCAGCTCAGAAAGGCTCTGCTGAAACCTCGTTAAGTTTGACTCAAGCAGAAACATCCAGAAAGGAAGAAGAGGGGCTTTCTGAGTTCTTTGTTTTTCCAGGGTAGCATTGGCCTTGCTGGAACTATTGCAGACTATGTTAAGTGGGAGAAAGTAGAGAGGTGAGCTCACTGGTAGGATGAGTGGAAGAATTACAGTAACAAGTAATGGGGTTAACACAAAACCAGGGCTCATTTTATTAACATTTTTAAAGCTCAGAGGAATGGCTACATAGTGGTAGTGCCATGTGTGACTCACAGGTGCCCAGGTGGGTGGCTGGCTCTCATTTTTCCACCACAACCTGGAGAGTATGATGTATCTTTACGCTGCATGGAAGTTATTCTACTTTCACAATGATTGAACTCATTTGTCTTCATTTAAATGAAAGGAGCAGAGTAGCTTGTTAGTGGGCACTTTAAAATGTGCTTATATTTTAGGCAAAACTGGTTCTAAATGGCCTATGATTTATGTGTGGGCAAAGTATTTCATAAATAATAAAAATCATGTTTTTATGTAATTACAATAAATATAAGATTGGTAAATTTAATCAAAGGTGATAGAACCAGAAAGCCAAATAGATCTAAAATCTCATATATCTGATGGAGCTATAAATGAAGATTTGGGGGTGCACATCAAATAAAGAGTTGCAAAACACTACAGAAATCAAATTTATTGTATAAATTGGAGAGATGAAGAACGCTACACAAGGCAAATTTGAACAGCTTTTGCCACTGAATTCCCTTTCTTGATATTCTACAGATGCTAGAAATTCTAAACACTATCTTAGAGAATGTTTGCTTGAATAGAAAAAGCAATAGACATGTAATTTAACATTTAAAAAAGGTCCATTGTGCAATGCATGCTAAAGAAGACATTTCCTTTAGGATCTGAGAGGAAAATGGAAAAGGAATTGCGTGACATTTGTGAGCTGCTAGAAAACTACTTCAGCTCCCTTACCCAGGCTACTTTTTCATCTTACCTTGAAGTCAATCACAACAGGATTATCCTTCACCGATTCTTTCCAATCCTGGAAGACCTTCTCCCTGGAACCAGAGTTCCCTTTCTCCCTCACCAGATCTGCTGTCTCCTTACTCCTCCCACCTTGAATCAAGGAGATGGATTTCTCTGCTCCCTTCACCATTGAACCTGCAAGGTGTTTTAAGAAAATCACTCATTTAATTTCATTGCATATTCAACCTCTAAAGAAAAGCCTGTTTGCCCCAAAGTAGATGGTATAGTCATGTACCGCCATTAAGGAAGCTAAGTGAAAAGCAAGAGAACACTGCTCCTCAGCCCTGCAGAGAGTTTAGTAACAGAAATGATAGTAACAGTGCCAACAGCTACTGTTTATTAAGTAGCTTGTATATGCCATGCACTTTGCAAGCATTATCTTATGTAATTCTCATAATAATCCTGAGAAGTAGGTATTATTGTAAATGTGGACATTAAAACTAGCAGTTTGGCCCGGAATGAGTGGTAATTTAGCGGGGGGTGGGGAGCTGGGATGCACATGCAGCCCAAGTCCTGAGGACTCTCTTCCTGCTCTCTGATGACAGACCCCTTCTTCTGATGTGTATTTGTGCATGTTTTGGGCCCTCGGGATGTTGTAAACCACTTGCTTCTGCAGACCCGTCCATTGGCTGCACGCTGAAGACTTCCAATCACAGAAAGAAGTTGAAAAGAGTGCTTTTAAGTTTAAAGACAGGAGTAAAAACACAACTAACCAAAGGAGAAAATAAGAAAAGAAATTATTTTTCTTTAGGGGCAGTGACATTTAATATACATAGCACAGATTTTTTTACAAATTTTCAAAACCATCCCTCTTAACCAATGGTGCCTATAACTAAAAGAATAGGAACTGAATAATAGGAAATTGTAGTAAGAAATAAAATCAAATGAAAAGCAAACTAATGATATGGGTGACAGTTGATGCCATTCATTTGATGTCAATTCTTCAGTGCCAGGGAAGATTAGCCATGCCCCTATTCTATAATAGTTTCGAATGATTAGGACCATGGGTGAAACATTCTCCCTGTGAAGAGTAGTATGATACTTTTCAAAGTGAGACATATAAAATAATACAGAGGGATATAAACAGAAAATTTTAAAGATTTTTGTATTTATTTTCTTATAAAAATAGGAGAAAGATTAGCATTTGCCCATATGTCATATACTAATTAACAGTGACAGAATATAACTGTCAGAAAATAAAATTAATAAAGTTAATTACATATAGAAAATACTTAAAGTAATTCATAAGAAATGCAGAAAAAATCAGTTATTAACAATTATTTAAAAAAATCTAATGGAGAGAATCAAGATGGCAGAGGGATTAGAAGTCATACTGACCTCCTCCCAGGAACAACCTGGAATTACAACTAAATTGTGGAGCAATCACCTGGAACAAACAACTGAACAACAACAAGAGTGGAGCGTTATAACCTCGGACAGACAGAACAATCAGCTTTAGCACAACCTAACTGGTAAAGAGTGAGGTAGAGACTTGAGAAGGCGGGTGGGGTGCCCATGGGCAGCAACACCAGAAGTATATTGAAATGGCCAGTTGGCTCCCCCTAAGAAGAGCAGGGTCTAAACCATAAATGGCGATCTCCAGCCTACAGCACCAGAGCCCAAAAAGTACACAGATAACAGCCAGCTGCGGAAAGCAGCAGGGTTGCTCTCTGCCAGAGACAGGAGGCTGGTGATGCAAAGAGCCATTTAAAGGGCCAATGCATAACTTTTTATTTGTAGCTACTTATCCTGGTCTCCAGCAAAGGTGGGGGCAGAGTGGGCTAGAGGTGCCTGGGGAGAGACTGGGGAAGGGGGCTTTGGGGAGAAAACTGAGACAGTAGCCAGCGGTATCCTGGTGCTGACTCATCCCCTATATGGCTGCAGCCATCTTGCTCAACCAGACCACTCCCCTGAGTGGCAACAGCATGAGAGGGCACAATTGCCCCATCCCCAGGAGAGGCTCGGCCGGCCCGGTAGTGCTAAAGCCTGACTGCTGAGTACAGAGTGGCAGCCACAGAAAATAGATCCCTGGCTAAAAAGGATGCAGAACGGTCTAGAGACACTTGAGGGGAGACTGGAGACAGAGACTTTGGGGAGAGAGTGGAGAGAGTAGCTGGCAGGATTCCAGTGCTGACTCATCCCCCATATGGCAGCAGCCATCTGGCTCAGGCAGACCACTCCCCTGAGCAGCAGCAGCATGAGAGGACCCAATAACCCTGCCCCCAGGAGAGACTCTGCCCTGCTATGGTACCTAAGCCGGTCTGCTGAGTGCAGAGTGACTAGATTAACAGCTGAAGGAGATAGCCACAGACAGTAGACTCCTGGAAGTCTCGATCAGATTACTTAAGGTCAGATAGGGTCAACATCTGACATCATTAGAGGCAGATCCACAAATTAAAAACAGCAGTCTCCTACCATAGAAGTTAACATCACAAAGTCAGGAAATCAAGACAGATCAATTTAAGAAGCAGAAGCAAAAAGAAGAGTCTCACAAATAATGGGAAAACAAAGAAACACTCCCCAATCGAAAGGAAAGGAGGAATCCACGGAAAGAGAACTAAATTAAATAGAGGCAAGTAAATCATCAGATATCAAAACAGATAGAAAACCATCAGAGTTCAAAACAATGGTTCTAAGGAAGCTCAATCAGCTCAGTGAGCTCAGAGAGAATTACAAAAAACTACATGGGAACTATGAGGAACTCACTGCAAACTATAGCAGTATGAAAAAAGACATAGAAACTATCAATAAGAGACAAGAGGAAATGAAGAATACAATTTCTGAATTGAAGAACACAGTAGAAGGAATCAAAAGCAGGCTCAATGGAGCAGAGGAATGAATCAACGAGCTGGAGGATAAGGTAGAAAGAAGCTCCCAGAAAGAGCAAGAAAATGAAAAAGACTCAAAATGAATGAAGAGGCATCTAAGGAAATGGGGGACAGCCTGAAACATAATAATATCTGTATAATAAGGATACCAGAAGAAGAAGAAGAGGAGCAAGGCATAGAGAACCTGTGTGAAAAAGTAATGATGGAAACTTCCCCAACTGGAGGAGAGAAAAAGTCACACAAGTCCATGAAGCACAGAGGGTCCCATTCAAGGGGAACCCAGTGAGGCCCACTCCAACATCGTCCTTAAAATGGCAAATATCAAACACAGAGAATCCTAAAGGAAGCAAGAGAGAAAGAGGTAGTGACATGTAAGGGAACCCCGTTACAGCTAGCAGCTGACTTCTCAACAGAAACACTACAGGCCAGAAGGGAATGGCAAGACATCTTCCACGTCATGAAAAGCAAAGGCCTGCAACCGAGACTGCTCTACCCAGCAAGGCTCTCAATTAAAATGGAAGGCAAAATAAGGAGCTTCTCAGACAAAAGAAGGCTAAAAGAATACACCTCCACCAAACCAGCACTGCAAAATATGCTAAAGGGACTGCTTTAAGATGAAGAAAAAGTTTCTATGAATACCCAGTTCCTTTCAGAGTCGCCAATACTTGATATTACCAATATTTTTAATATTCATTAATCTGAGTATGTCAATGAGGTGTTATTTTAATTGTTACTTTATTATTTGTTGAAACTAAACCTATTTTTGTATATTTCTTGCCTATTTCTATTATTTAAAAGAAAGCTTTAAATGACTTTTTGGTAGGTTTTATCCATTTTTTGATTAAATGTTTGTAGAATTTCTTCCATTAAAAAAACCCCAAAAAGTCTTAACCTTTGTTTAGATGTGTTGCAAATACTTTACTATTCTATTACTTGTCCTTTGACTTTTTTTATATGTATATTACTATACAGTTAAATGTTTAATGTAGTCATATTGTCAATATTTTACTTTGTAGCTTCTGGGTTTGAATATTTTAGGGTAAGAAAAATATTATTTTGTATTTTCTTCCAAAACTCCTTAGATTTTACATATTGATTTTTAACTCACCTGAATGTTTTTTGTATAATGTGTGAAGTACAGCTCTATATTTGTTTTATTTCAAGAAATAGTGGTCCATGCACCTCATTTGTTGAATAAGCATTATTTTCTCCATTGATTTGAAATATCAATGTAATTATATATTCCATTGTTAGACAGATATATATGTTTGTTTCTAGAATGCACATTTTATTTCATGATTTACTCGATTATTTCTGTGCTGGTGTCATGGTGTCTTAATTGCTGAGACTTTATAATGTATTTAAATTTTTTAATTTTTATAATGGATTTTGACATTTAAAAAATAAATAAATAAAATCAATCTGCATTTAAAAAAAAAAAGAAGGAACTCCTACCTTTTGCAACAACATGGATGGAACTGAAGGATATTATGCTAAATGAAATAAGCCAGTCAGTGAAAGACAAATGCCATATGACCTCACCTATAAGGGGAATCTATTCAACAAAATAAAGAACAAAATAAACCACAGGCATGGAAACATGGAGCAGACTGAAAGTGACCAGAGGGGATGGCGTAGGAGGAAATGATGGAAAGGAGGAGAAGACACTAAACAAAGAACATGTGTGACTGACCCATGGACATGGACCACAGAGTGGGAATTGATTAGGGGGAAGTGCAGGAGGGCAAAGGGGGGAAAATTGAGACAATTGTAAAAGAATAAATATGATTTAAAAAGAAAAAGGTTTAAAAAATCTAATGGAAATAGAATGATAAGTATAATTTAAGATGTGAGAATTAATGTCTCTAAAATACAGCAATTAATTTCGTCTTTACAATGTCTAATTTATTTATAACTATAATGGTGATTTTTTTTATTATTTGTCTTCGTACTTTAGCTTTGAAACTTCCCTTTTCACCTCATTCTTAAAATTAACTTTTTGTCTCCAAGCTCTTAACTTATTGAATTTACATTCTTATTAAATTATTCTATTGCATAAACAACTGACACAGAACATGTATCTATTCTTTTACTAGGTTATTTGACTGTTTTTGCATGCTTTTCTTCTTTTCCATGTTGTGTTTTTATATAATATGAATGCGTGGTTGTCAAACCAGTTCTCATTTTTCTCATGCTTAATTTAACATGGGTGTCTTCACAGATACCATCTATATGCTCTGATATTTTAAATGATCTGTTTATGATGATAGTAACCATTATATTTTTATTTGTTCCTTATCCGACTCTCCATGAGAAGTAAGCTTCATATTTTGGAAGTTTCTGTGATTTTGCTTCCCTTTATCCTGAGCAGAATGAGTAGCAATCAGTCCAGTGACGTAAGGGAATACGAGGATTTTACACAGAGAAAAGACTTCTTTATGATGGCAGGGCACAAGAGAGAGCACGACTTGTTTAGGTGACTACTCACAGTGTAGCCAGACAGAGCAAAAGAGGCAGGGACACATCTTTTGGGCTCGTGAAACCATGACATGTTTAAGTCATCAGAGTTGTATGATGAGATTTGCCTTGGAGAAGATTCCCCTCAGCAAATGTGTGGAATGGAATGGAGCAGGGCATGACTAGCGGCCAGGGGCCTGTTAGGAGCCTTCTCTGGTCATCCAGGTTGGAAATAATGAATGGAGGGTGTGCATGGGAATAAACAATGAGCAGATGGGGAGAGCTGGGAGAAATACTAAGGAGGCAGAGGGATTGCTTGGCAGGTGTGAAGGCTGGAAAGAGGGAGAAATAAAAGCTGACACTCACGGTCAAGAAGGCAGAGTAGGGGAAACCTGTGCTCACTCCCTCCCATGACCACATCAAAATTACACCTAAATTACAGAACAATCCGCCTGGAGAACCAGCTGAGCAGATCTTCTATAAGATATAAAGAAGAGGCCATGTCAAGACCAAGAAAAATAAAAAATGATAACAGGTTTCTGGTTTGGTTGTCTGAGCCTTTTTTACATCACTCTCTTAGCCCTTTGTCTGTCTGTGTTTTTATTGGTTATTTATACATATCACTACTTTGTAAGCTCTTTGGTGGGAAGGCCTGATTCACATGCATCTTTACATCACAATCCCTAATACTGGGTCCTGTCCATGGGAAGAATCAATAAGTGTTAATTAAATTAAACAGCTTAAGTATAAGATAAAGAAAACCTTCATCATTTCCCCTTTTAAGTAGCGCTAATGATATTTTGTTTAGCACTCTCTCCGCACTACCCAGAGAGCTCTGAGGCAGATAAATGAGATAAGCGCAAAGCTAAAAACAGCAGAGTCAGGTGCAATGTGGTGCTTAAATTGCCGCCAGCCGCAGGGCACACAAGGGAAGCCGCCAAGACAGAGCACGGGTACCTTCATATCTCTCTGACATCTTGTTGGTGGTGCACCGGTGTTCCACGGTTGTCTTTTTAAAGAAAAGAAAACGTTTCTTTATTTCGATCCGGATACAATTTTGAACTTCTTCCTCGGTTAAACCTAGGAAATGAGTACAAACAAAGACTCCTGAGGATGCACCACCGAGAATGCAGAGAAGAGCGCGAGGGCCCAGGCCCCGGTGGGAGCCACCGCCTCCCCTCCTGCAGTTCCTGTCGAGGAGAGTGAATGGCCGCCTTCCCACAGACGCGTCCTTCGCAGAGCCTCCCACGGTTTTGAACCAAGAGATATTTATGAGTCCCTGCTCTCCTCCCCGCCAACGCTGGCCCTGAGAAGCCCGGGTGGGGCCACGGGGGCCCATCCCGCGGATCGTGATGGCCTCTCCCCGCTGCTGACACAGAACGGACCTCTCGGCGCGCCCATCCTCCCGGGCACCGCCACTGCGCAGCCTGCGCACCAGGAGAGGAACGCACGCTGTGTGTGGTGCCCCCGGCCGGACCCTCCCGGGCCACGGCTCATTCTGTGAGGCCTCAGCACGATCCGCCTTTCCCCCCGTTCATCACCTAACACGCGAATCTCGTGGGCCGTCTCTGCTTCCCTGCGCACCCGTTCTCTCTCGCCCCTGCGCTTCCTCCCCCCGGCTCAACGGCCCGCTTCACCTCTACCTCCAACGCCCTTCCGTTTCCCTCTCGGACACTCCGCCTGCCCACCTATGAAGTCCTCTTTTCAACATCCCCGCCGAGTGTTCTCTCGCTGACCTTCTGTGAACGCAAGCCTGCCCTTGACAGGCTTCCCGTTGCCCGCATCCCCGGCCCCTTCGGGCGTGGGGCGTGGGGCGTGGGGCGTGGGTCCGCGCCCTCGTCCGCGTTTCCCGGTGCCGCTTCTGCAGGGTGCCTCTCCACAGTCTAAGTCTTACAAAACCTCCAGTTCCCGGAGGCTGAGGCCACCCACTTCTCATGTCTTCAGTCTGCATTGTCCTTGTCTTTTACCAGACTCCCAAGCATCTTCGTCGAAGATTTTGTCACCTGAACCATTCTCTCCAAGTACAGCGCTTGCCATTATTCTCAGGGACTTCACCGTCAGTGCGGGCGGTAGGGGCCGAGAGGGGCACAGTGCGGGGGGAGCAGGTCTTGGCAGGTCGGTGGAGGTGCTACTGCCTATCTGGGGTCATCTGAGAAGAAGAATCAATGTTTCCTTTTTCCTAACTGCTTCCCAAACCGCCTGACCTGCTACTCAAAAGATCAATTTTAGAATCTAGGGTTTGTTTTTATTTTATGTTTAGTTAAAAAAATTGCCTTGCAAAACATAAGCACAGGAGAGATAGAGCTGTTAATACCAGCTCTTAAACCTCTGAAAGCACAGTAGTTTACCAAATACTGAGATTTAGGGTTGCAGATTACCAGAGGCAAGAAGGAGCAGGCGAAGAGCGTGAGGCCGGGTTCTGTGTGACCCTAAAACGGAAACCCGAAGGCCGAGGTCGCTGAGGAAGGAGGCTGAGTAGATGGGGATGGGTTGTGCCTGCTTCATGGTTTCCTCAACAGCTGTTTCAATAGTTTGACGTACTTGAAGAGATACATTAGAAGTTGGGAGTAAAAAATTCTTGGTTTAAAGTCCTCGTGTTTACCTTGTATCTTTAATTTTAGAAGAAAAAAAAAGATGGCTCTTTTGATCAAGCTGAATAAATGGGTCACTTTTCCCCTGATAGTATTATTCTTATAAGTGGGTCAAAATCAAATGTTTAGGGCATGTTAGGAATTTGCTATACCTAGAGCACATAACTCCCCACATTCTCTTACTCTTTTCTTGGTTTTGATTATCTGTAAGTTAAAATGCAATTTATGTGTCCAATTTATTAACTAGACCGTAATTAGCCATAAGATTAGTTAATTTCATTTTCTCAGGGTTAGAGGAGACCCCTTGAAGATCTGAAGAAAGAATCCTTCCTATGAGCCATGTGTTGGTCATACAGTGATTAAAATATCAAGGCTCCATCAACGAATTTCTGCACAAGCCTTCCTGCCCTGTAGCGTGTTCTCTACCTTGCTGCCTGACCCCTGTCTACCCTAAGGAGTCATGTGATGCCACAGCACGTGGCCCCCCAAACCTGAGGGTCCCTCTGATGTGGTGCAGGGATGGGTATTTTGGAAATGTCCTCACCTGCTCTGAGTGGGCGAAGGTCAATACTGCTAGTTGCAGATGTCATACCAATAAATCGTGAGGCAATTAATTTTCTCTTCAAATGAAGAGCAGAAAATGACTTCGCAACAAAAGGAGTTTAAAATTACCATCTTGCATATTATGATATTTTAATTGTTTAATGTTTCCCCAAATTCCTGAAATTCTTTTCACCTTGCACTCTGCAGCAATGTCAACGTTTAGTCAAGGTTTTAAATTGATATGGGAACACTGAACAATAGAATAAATCAAGGGATGCAATGCAATGAAATGAAAAAGCAACTGAATTTTGTTTATTTTTCTTGGGAGAGGCAAAGTATTATGAAATATTCAGGTCGTATTTTGAAATTAATGACAAGGGATATGATACTTATTGGATAAAGCAAACAAAAACCAAGCTTATTTTCTAGTTCCATGTTATAGCTAAGTGAAGGGAGAAGGAATAGAAAGAGAGAGAAGGGAAGAGGCCAGGATATATATTTATCTAGAGAGTGGGAAAAAAACAGGGAAGCACATCCCCTGGAGAACTCTATTTTGTTAAAATTTGTTTCTGTCTGGGTGTGCTTCATCTTCACCATGATTAAAATGGTACACCAATATTATTATTGTGACAGAAAAATGAATAAGTATATATATTCATTAAACATAAGAATATATATAAGAACATTGAATATAAGACTGTTTTATTGACTACATTGAATATACATATATACACACTATAAATACTATATACATATATAGAGTATATGTATTTGTGTATATGTATGCAGGTGGGTATGGTTATATATTTCCAGTTTCCTATCACATCTCAAACTCCCTTTTTTACCCTTATTATATGTATCTGATTGTCAGTCTCTCCATTTGTAGAGAAAGAAATGGAAGGCAAAAATATTTGAACAGGGAAGTATAGTTCATCGCTGTTCATTTTGGTTATGGGGCTTCAGTTATTAAAATGCTGGAGGGTTGATTAAAGAGTCACATCGTTCTTTAACTGACCTGATCTCTAAGCTTTGAGAGGCTTTGCTCTGAATATGTGACAAGTGTAGTCCATCAAGTGAGAAATTATTCTCTGGGCCACAGCAGCAGTGACCAGAATAATTTCATCCCAAGCGTGAATGAAAGGGCCGGAGACTTCCCCCAACCGTGTTTGCTCAGCATTGATGTGGATGCTATTCTCGGCGGCAGAAGACATCCAGTTCATCACACAAACTTTGCTCCCGGGAAAGGATAACAGACACGGACAGGAAGGTTAGGTGGTATGGGAAGCACGTCACAGCATGAATCTTTTCAGCTTCGCTAGCTCTGCCAGGTGAAATCTCTTACTGAAAGTACCTCTCAAAGACATTTATCCCAACTCCCCACTTAGGAAGCAGATCGTGAGAGGTCTCTGGTCACTTGAGGTCTGGAAGGCCTTGGGCAGTAAGAGGAAACATGAGTATCTGTCACATGAGAGATGAGAACATAGGAATTGACACTTCATTGACTTTGATGTTGTCTTTTAAAATAAATTCCTGGGTTGTTTTTTTCTTTTGTATAAAGTTACATTATCAAGAACTGTGATTTATTTGGGGGAATTGGTCAATTGAATTCTTGTTACTATTTAGTTTCTTGCCATGTTCTCAAAAGACACGTGATAGAATCATCACAAGGATGCTGTGCCATTTCACACAGCAGTCTAAAAAAAACTATTTCAAAGGTGCTTAAACTGTAATAATAATTTAAGATAATAGTTAAGAATCCAAGATTTATCTTTAAACTAAGGTTTCTATTACTATTTTATATGGAACCAGGAAAATATCACCAATGATATACTAAGATATAATGTTGTGACTTTTCCTCAAATAAAAGTGTTTCTCCTCTGGTTTCAAGTTTTATCACCAACAGGTACATCCCTGGCCCACATTAACTTAGTCCCCCTCTTTCCAGCCTTCACACCCGCCAATTCCCCCCTAATTAACTTAGAACCTTAATTGTTCTTTCATTTTATGCCCCTGGCTTTTAGCTTAAAATTATTAAAAGAAAAAAGACGTCTAGTGAATTTGTTATAATTACTATTGCCTGTAAAAATGCTCTAAGTAAATTATCCTTCAGAATTTGGCTCCATCACAAATCTTGTTTTCCTTGGGATAAGGGCATGCATCTCTCTTATGGGGGGACCAATAATGTGTAGCCTATGATGTTCCTAAGTAATCAGGAAATTCAGAGACAAATCTGAAGCCCCGTCAAAGAGGTTAAGCATATTTATTTATCCTTAATTTTTGGTCCCAGTTTTTTTTTTTTAAGGATTTTATTTATTTATTTTTAGAGAGATGGGAAGAGAGGGAGAGAAACATTGATGTGTGAGAGATACAGTGACTGGTTGCCTCTCCTATGCCCCCAACCAGGGACCTGGCCCACAACACAGGCACATGCCCTGACTGGGACTCGAACTAATGACACTTTGGTGGTTCACAGGCCATTAAGCCACACCAGCCAGGCCCCTGTTTTCTATTTTTGTTCTATTTACTTGACTGTGTACTTTCTGGTTATTCTTCACATCATTTTGGAAATAAAGCAGCCTCTAAATAGAGTTAATAAGAAAGAATTGAAATGATACAGTAAGAGAAAAAGGCATCTCATGCTATCAGATCAGTTACTAAAAATGAAGGCCGAAGTCAGCATACCTGAGTTTTTTAGTTCCTCACGGCTATACTGATAGAGGAGGTCGTACACGCCTCCCAGGGAACCAGAGGTGAAATAGTGAGTCCCGAAGTCCTCAAATATCCGGCTGTACAGAGCATAGTTGTAGTCCAGTGGCAGGTGGTTAAGTGCTTTCAAAAAGACATTAGAAAGATGCAGGTCTTTACTTTTCATTGTGAAGTTTAAGACTTTTATCACTTTATGGATCCTAATAAAACTAGAATCCTAAATGGAAGAGGAGAAATGAGTAAAAAGAAAAGATGATTAAAGATCATGAAAGTTTGTCTTTAAGTATCAAGCACTTAAATGTCATCTATTGATCACCAGCCTCATTTCAATCTAGTATTACAACAATTTTAACTCCCTGTTGCATGTCTTCACGTGCAAAATTATAATTTTCATTTTCTCATCCAGTACGTTTTCCTGAGATGTTCAAAGTGCTAAACCAATGAGATCACCTCGATGATGTAAACGGAGTGACCAGTATGCTCTCTACCTAAAAGAGATCAATGATCAGAAAAGCCCATCTTTTTCTCGTGATTGTCCGTCATGGCTGCATCCCCACTGCATTTTTATTTAGAAAGCCTTGCTCATGCAAATAGTGCTGATAATTGAATAAGGGCTGTGTGACAAATTTTCAATTGCAAGTTATGTAGCTGAGATTCAAGTCACAGCTTTGTCACTGAGCAAAAGCATTTAAATTCTCTAGGCCTCCATCACCTGTGTCACCTGGTGCAGAGATAAGGGCTGTGTTCCATGGCTTTTCACAACTCTTCGACATCACATCAACCAAAATGCTATGACTCAAAATTAACAAGAGGTAAAATTAACCAAAATTATTTGTATTCTCTCTCTATGCATAAGCAAAAATATCTTTTTGGAAGTTTTTTAAAATTATTTTTTTATTTATAAATCCTGTTTATTCTCTTACAGTTGTCTCAATTTTTCCCCCTTCAGCCCCCTCCACCCATCCCACCCCCGCCCCCCACTCCCACAGTCAATTCCCACTCTGTTGTCCATGTCCATGGGTCATTCATACATGCTCTTGGTCCAGTCCCTTCCCCTTCTTTCCACCATAGTCCTCTTTCCTCCTCCCCTCTGGTCACTTTCAGTCTGCTCCATGTTTCCGTGCCTGTGGTTTATTTTGTTCATTAGTTTATTTTGTTGAATAGAGTCCATTTATAGGTGAGATCATATGGTGATTGTCTTTCATCAACTGGCTTATTTCACTTAGCTTGATATTCTTCACTTCCATCCATGTTGTCGCAAAAAGTAGGAGTTCTATCTCTCTTTCTTTCTTTCTTAAATGTAGATTGATTTTATTTATTTCTTTAATGTCAAAGTTAATTATAAAATATTTAAAAAATTTGAAACCATTATAAAGTCTCAGCGATTAAACCAACAAGACACCAGCACAGAAATAATCAAGTAGATCAATGAAATATAATGAACATTCTAGAGACAAACGTATATATCTGATTAATATATGTATGATTAAGTTGATATTTCAAATCAATGGGGGAAAATAAGGCTTATTCCACAAATAAGGTGCATTTCTACTTGAAATAAAATAAATATAGAGCCCTATTTCACACATTACACAAGAAATATTCAGGTGAGTTAAAAATCAATATGTAGAATCTAAGGAGTTTTAGGAGAAAATAGAACTAATATTTTTCTTACCCTGAAATAAAATATTCAAACCCAGAAGCTATTAAGTAAATATTGACAATATGACTATATTAAACATTTAACTATATAGTAATATACATATAAAAATGTTAAAGGACAAGGAATAGAATAGAAGAGTATTTGCAACATCTAAAACATGGTTAACAGGTTTTTTGTTTCTTTTTTTTTTTTCGGGGCAATAAGTGCTACAAACCTTTAATCAATAAATGGGTAAAGAATACCAAAAAGTCATTTAAAGCTTTCTTTTAAATAATAGAAATAGGCAAGAAATATACAAAAATAGGTTTAGTTTCAACAAATAATAAAGTAACAATTAAAATAACACCTCATTGTCATACTCAGATTAATGAGTATTAAAAATATTGGTAATATCAAGTATTGGCGACTCTGAAAGGAACTGGGTATTCATAGAAACTTTTTCTTCATCTTAAAGCAGTCCCTTTAGCATATTTTGCAGTGCTGGTTTGGTGGAGGTGTATTCTTTTAGCCTTCTTTTGTCTGAGAAGCTCCTTATTTTGCCTTCCATTTTAATTGAGAGCCTTGCTGGGTAGAGCAGTCTCGGTTGCAGGCCTTTGCTTTTCATGACGTGGAAGATGTCTTGCCATTCCCTTCTGGCCTGTAGTGTTTCTGTTGAGAAGTCAGCTGCTAGCTGTAACGGGGTTCCCTTACATGTTACTACCTCTTTCTCTCTTGCTTCCTTTAGGATTCTCTGTGTTTGATATTTGCCATTTTAAGGACGATGTTGGAGTGGGCCTCACTGGGTTCCCCTTGAATGGGACCCTCTGTGCTTCCTGGACTTGTGTGACTTTTTCTGTCCTCCATTTGGGGAAGTTTCCATCATTACTTTTTCACACAGGTTCTCTATGCCTTGCTCCTCTTCTTCTTCTTCTGGTATCCCTATTATAATGATATTATTACGTTTCAGGCTGTCCCCCATTTACTTAGATGCCTCTTCATTCATTTTGAGTCTTTTTCATTTTCTTGCTCTTTCTGGGAGCTTCTTTCTTTCTTGTTATGTCCGGTTGATTTAGGATCAGGTCGTTGATATTAAGCCTCAAATCTCATTCCATTAGATTGTTGTTCTGCACAGCCCCTGAGTTTTGTAAGTGTACACATGCAACTGTTATTTTAAAAACTTTGTATATACTTTATCTGATCCCTCAATGTTAGCAAATTGTAGTGTTAGAGCAAAAGAAACAGAAAGAGGAGCATATTTTAGCAAAAGAACTTTATTATAGCTGTAAATTATTAAACAGCTACCTTCCTGTATGCTTAATTTTGGCACAAAAGAGAAACAATAACCACAAGGACTGAATAAAAGCCATCATTCACGTCTCCTCTTTTCCTTTCTCTTTTCCTCACTCTTTCTCTCCCTCCCTCCTTCCTACCTTTTTTCCCTCAGTACATTCATTGCTAAATGTCTTAGGTGCTGTGGACACAGAAGCAGACAAGGCAGACAGAGTTCATGCTTTTGGGGAGCTTAGATTCTAAGTGCCCATTCATTCCATTTTTAAGTTTCAAACTTGAATTTTGTCATAGAAACACGGCTTTTGAAAGTCGGAGGGACATTATGCTTTGAATAAAAAGCGCGATCGTTCCCTGGGTACCTGAAATGCCCATTCAGATTTGGGCCTTTAAATGAGCGGTTCAAAGCTTCTGGGGGGCTTTAAAAACTAAATTGTAGAAAACACAAGCAAAATTATGGTAACTCAGCCTAGTACAAGCATCTGCATAGTGCTCCAGTAGAAGAAAAAGGAATAGATGAAGAAAGATTAATGGAGGATGATGTATTTTTACATATTAAAAGAATTCCCAAAGTTTCTGGCAAGATTATTGGGAAAAGTCTAATACTGAGACATAACTTAAATTCTAAGCATTAAAAATTATAAGTTTCCAGACAGGACAAAAGAAAAAAAAATAATCTCTATGCTGATTTTTCCTATGCAATAATGGAAATTAGGAGACAGTGGAATAACATCTAGCAATCATCAAGAGAAGAAAACTATGATCCCAGATACCTTATCGAGCCAAGATATTCTTTATCTTTATTGCTCAGAGAAAACATAGGCATTTTTAGAGATACTAAAAGAATTTAGGAAGTATATTTTGAAGGCATCCTACCTAAGGATAATACTAAAAATATGAAGATTAAATGAGAAGAAGGATCTCAAGAAAGGGAAGATGAGAGGACAGAAAATGGTGATGAGTGAATGGAATATATATATATATATATATATATATACACACACACACACACACACACACACACACAGAAATACAATATAAAATATAACAAATATAAAATACAAGAAAATTTTAAAAACATGGAATTTATAAGTGTTATGCAAGGGATGTTTAGGTAAAGAAGACAAGAGTCAGAATAAAATACAAATGTGTACATATAATATAAAAGCCAATACAAAACAATCTTTATGGAAGACAAAGGTTTTGAACTATCTCAACAAAACAGGTTTTGCAGGCCTGTGATGATAGTGGTGGAGAAGCAGAGCGCTCATGTGTTCTCAAGGAGAGAGTGGGAATGGGATGTTGGAAATAGGTAAAACACGTTTTTGAGGGGAGCACAGATATTACTTAATGTGATAAAAGAATAAAGCAGAGGTGTAATTATGCTTTATAACTAGAGAAAGGTAACAGGAAGCAGAACTTCCAAAATGACCAAAATTATACAAGGGGTAGATAGAATTATGGCAAAGACAGCAGACATAAAGAACCAGGAAACAGCAACCAAGTGAAATGAGTAAGAAAACTTAAAAATGGGAGGAAAGTGATCAAGTATTTCAGTGAATATCCTAAAAGTAAGTTGGCTGAATTTCCCTAGCAAAAGCCTGAGACTGCCAGATTACATTTAAAAATCAAAGTCCTGTTACATGTGGTTTATAAGAAATATAGACACCTAAAACAGTAAGACAAAGAAAATAACAATAAACACAGCCAAATACATGCAAAAAGTAAAAATCATTATACATACCACCTCTATAATTTTTGAAGTGGGATAGAGCAACAACTGTGCAAAACATTAAAGCTATTTAAATATGAATTAGAAATCCTACTCATTTGATATCAAAACTCCCCCCTTCTTGTTGCATGATTGTGAGTGGTATTAATTTTCAGGAACATTTTAAGTACCTTTTTGTGGGAGGCTTCAATGGCTTCTTTGAAGGCAGAATTCCGGGTAGAGGATTGACTTTGCGATGAAGAATAAAAAATTGGCACGTAAAATCTCTTGGCTGTACCCAAAGCTGCCTGGGCTTTTTGATCTGCACTCTTTTCAACAGCCTTTAAATCCTGATAGAGATCTGATTCCAACTCATCTTCTTTAATTTCTTCCTGGAGAAAAATCCATATGAAATAAAACAGAATTTAGGAAATACTGGAGATACCTGTAAAGATCTAATGCAATGATCATTCATTTCTGTATTCAATAAACCTTTATTGAGGACCCATTTTGCTATAGAGCATGGAATAATATTAATTCCTGTCCACAGGGAGTCAATAGTTTAGGGAGAAAGACAATCACAGACATTCATTCAATATATGATGTGTTGTGCTGCTGATGGAATTGCCACAAATAACTATAAAACCCATGGAGATAATACCAGGAAAATCTAGCTCAAGGAAATGACTCCCAAGCTAAAACATAATAGAGAAATAAGCAACTATTTTCAGTCTGCCTGTGAATTTGATGCAGTTTGCAATCTAGTTTTAGATATCTTTCAAAATATTAAGGACTAGAAAAGGAGAGGGCAGATCCTGCTTGATCCTGCTCTGAAATCATCCCCATCCCCTAAGCCTTGTTTCAGTGCTGGTCATCAGTACTCTACTGGCCATGCCTGCAAGACAGAGGACAAGTAATCAGTGGGTTCTGCCTGGTGGGTAGTTACCAGTCTTCACTGACTTGGTCTTGGAAGAAGAGAAAAAGCCAATGGGACCTGACTTGAACTGAGTGGAGCTGAATTTAAGTACAAGTCAAATCCTCCTTATGCTTATGATGGTAAGAAGAGAACAATGGATGCATTTTTGTTTAGAAAGTTTGCAAAGCAAATTAAAGAGTACTTCTTTATGTTAAAGATGATTTTCTGTTTTGCAGTGGAAAAAAAATCTCTTCTTGTTTTAAAATATTCAGTATTCAAATACACTGTGAGGCAAAGCACATGTCACAATTGACCAACTTGCACAATTAGTCAAGCAAAGACAAAAAAACTCAGCTGCAAAAAAGTCTTGCTCAACAGTAAAATACAGTCAAAAGATTGGTTACTTTCAGATATTGCACTGCATGCTAGTTAGCACTTAAAATAAAGCTCTTAGCACCAAAGCAACACAATCACATTTAGATACAGTTGCTGACATTTCTGTACAATTTCTCTACAAAATTCACATTACAAATAGTTTGTTTCATGAACTAGCTCTCACACAAGAAAAGATGTGTCAGCTTAAATAAAAAGATATTAACATGTAAGGAAGAGGGCTTGGGGGTCTTGGGCAGAAGCACAGAGGAAATCCGACCCGGCACATGAGCTTGGTGGGAGGGTAGGCCCACAGGTGAACAGTGCTGGACATTCATGTGAAATTGGGAAGCTGGGGCAGGTCTGTTAGGCACTGCTAAAATATTGGGATTGGATTCTACAAGGAAGCTTTGACATATAACAAGCTGTTTAAAAATATTAACTGAATGCATGAAAAATTGGGAGTGTTCCCATCATCTTTGTGGTTTGCAAAGATCATGTGAACTATAGCTCATTAAAGTGGAGGCAAGGAGAGTGGTTTAAAAAGTGGAACAATAAGCCAGGTAGGCTAGGACAACGGCCAGGTCTCGGGAGTGGTGGCTGGGTAGAGCAAAACTGGTGGATTGAAAAGATATTTAGGAGGGAGGTCAACTGAAGTTGTTGACCAAGCAGATGTGGGTGGTTAGGGAGAGAGAGAGAGAGGGAGAGAGGGAGAATGCTATTCCATAAAAGGGAATACAGGATATAGAAAGCCAACGCAACTTTTGAAAGCAGGAAGATGAACTCTTTTAGTGGTGTATAAGGAACAGTGGTAGGCTCTGATAAATTTCATTTTCCTAGGAAGAGCTGTTAACCAAATTCTGGGAGGAGAGTTTTAATTCTCATTTTACATAATACTGCAGGTTTCTCCCTGAGCCCTTCTTGAAGATCTGTGTATCTTGTGGGCTGACAACCTCCCAGGGCTCCATCCTCATGGACGTTTTTGCCTTTGTGCTTGAGAAAGGAGGTGAGGTTGTAGGCAGAGGTGGAAGAGAGCTAAGTGAACATGGGAGAGGGAGGGGACAGGGTGGCACCTGGTTTCCTGTGTTGTGAGGGTTAGAAACAGAGCCTGAAGCTGTGAATGTTACAAGGGATTTAAGGAAGCTGTGAGGAAGTGCAGCGCTGTGAAGGTTTTCAGGCTCTGGGATGCAGTGGGAAGCCATGTCTAGGTAGGTGAGTACATTGGTAAGAATCAAGGTGTAATGGTAACCATGCTCTGCCGTCTGCTGGTGACAGCGAATGCTTAGCGCACAGCCAGTAGCAAAGCAGCAACACCAAAGAAAAGAGAGGAAGATTCCTCACTAAGTGATCTGGCTCTGGGGATGGGTGCGGGGATCTTGGGTGACGGCTCTGCGTTCAGCAGGTCGGGAACCCCTACGGGGCAGAATTCTCCCTATGGCCTTCTATTCTGACTTCCTGTCCAGTGCCTTTCTTTCTCTCCCCACTTTCAGGAGCCTCTCTACCACCAGCCCGTCACATCATCTGTCTTAATAGACTCCAGTACTGTAGGAGAAGGCAAGTCAGATGCCTGCTGAATGTCTTCTCTATGGTTTGCAATAAGGTATAGCTTAGATTTGCACACGACTGCCAAACGCATGCAAAGTAATACGGAAATCAGTGAAAAGTAAGACCATTGCTTGTGCCCTTGGGTCTGGTTGTCTTCAAGTCATTGTCTGAAGACACATGTATCCCCCATGACCGCCCTCAGCAGTTGAATATCGCCTAGAACTCAATGACACGCAGTCAGAGACCTGCTCACACAGCTTCTTCAGCTTGGACAAGTTTCAAAACTAATGCAATTGATAATGCGATGAGTATACTTGATTCTGAATAAGGATTTTCAGGCTGTGTTTCCCGATTTAACTTGCCTCCTAGGCTTGGGTTACCAAGTTACATGGGTGGATCCAGTGGCCTGCTGCTAAGATGTTGAGCAACCTGCTCCCTGGGCAGGGGAAAAATACCGTGATTTACTCCAGCCTTGGCCTTTTCTCGTGTTGGATATGTTCCTACCAGAGCTGATTTCCAGCTACTGATCCAGTGCCTCTGAATTCCAGTTTGGGAAATGATGCACAGAAACAAATTATTATGTAGTGTTTTCTGATATGGAAACAATAGATGTCAGGAAACCTCAGGAGCGTAAGCGACAGTAAAATGGAATCTCACCATTGAGAAGTGATGAATTTTGAGTAAGTATCACCCGTGGTTTTTATATTTTTATTTATTTGTAAGATTATATATTTAATATTTAACAATGGCTATGTTTAACAACTGGCTTGCAACATTTCTGAAAATTTAACAGTTCGCTGCTGGACGCCGGCAGGCCTGGCTCCGCAGGTGAATTGGACGGGTGACACCTTTTCAAAGACGGTTTATGAAAAAAGGGGCTCAGACCGGGCATGCAGAGCACAGTTGTTGCACCTTTCTCGCCATGACCATCTAGGTCTCACCGAGCACAGGCAGCACCGAGGCGGGAGCCGGGATTCTCCTGGCGCTCTGCCTTCTACTTGCTGCACGACCCTGAGAAAGTTGTCTATCTTCAGTGAGCCCATGTCTTCTACTCATAAGGTAGATATAAAGAATCTCCTACCTTTCTGGGAAGGCTGTGATGGGGAATTGAGGAAAGCAAATTCTGAAAACTCTATTCTGTAAGTGCGAACTGTTATCTAAGCCCAAATGTGCCCTAACCTCAAGTGCGGACCCTAATCTTTCTTGCTTGTAAAATTGCACAAAATAGACGCTGAGAACATAGGCAGTATGTTTTATTTTTTTTCTGTTGGAAATTAATGTATTTTGAAAATAGGCTTAATTTCTCTTTGAGAGCTAGAAAGCATCCTGCCACAGAATAATATTATATGTAAATATTTGGGTTTTAACTCTGTCTACAAAACCTATTCAGTACAATACATCTTAAGACTAGTACCATTGCTGACAGAATCTTTGATGCTATTGTTTACTTGAAAAGACATCTCTTCTAAGTTGTTATTTAGAATACCAATAAGATCATTCCTACCTCCCTTGTTGGTGTGGACCCTCTGGGGTTAGCATCTACCTCTGGGTGGTCCCTTTACCTGGTCAGAGATCACTTGCTACTCTTGTCACATCTACCTTCAGGCAGAGATGAGGCTTCTCAGGGTAAGTCTCCCAAAAAACGTGTTTGAATTTGGCAGTTGGACCCTAAGGACATTCCCCATACCATTAACATGTATGAGATGGTGCTGAGTTTATCAAATTGGAAAATGCCTATCTTTATATGTATATAAAAGTTATTTTTAAAGAAAAGGGTTAAATGACTTTTGCTGAACTCATACTCTCCATAAAGTGGTCTCAGAAATCATTAAACCTTCTGAAATTCCCTCTGGCACGTCAATTTGTATGCATGGATGTTACCATTAAATAATGTCTTTTCTGTTTCTCTTATCATATATTAAATAGGTTTTTTTACATTAGTTCAGCAAGTATGGAGCATATGTGTAAGGCACTAGGCTAGAGCCTGGGAGGATGTAGTTTGATGCTCATTACCACTTAGGAAAACACGCAGAAAACAAAATCCACTAATAAAATAGACAGAAAGGTGAGCAAAACTACACTCATTATACTTAGATTCATCTCGGCTTTTCAGAAGGCAGGTACTCTTTTATGTCTAAATTTAGTGGTTACCTGAGAGAACGAGCTATAGCAGGAGAAAATTCTAAGTAAATCAAACCATTTTCTGTGTGGGGTTTTGTCACAGTTGTATGTTCTCCAGGGAACGCATGAACTCAGGAGACTGGAAAACCTGAGCTTGAAACTCTGATCTGCTACTTACTAGCTGTTTGACTTTGGGCAAATTAATTACCTTAGTTTTTTCACTTGTAAGTTGATAGTGACATACTGACCTCATTGGGTTGTGGAAGGATTAAATGCTAACACATAACAGGTCATTTAAAATGTTCATTGGCTGTTTATTCTGTCCCATCATTCATCACTAATTTTTCACGGGAAATTTTAGCTTATAATCATCATTGACTTTGGAATGCCACCGAGATAGGCTGTCATACCTCAAAGCTGACATTTTCCAGATTGGCTGCAACACGGTATGCATTACTTGTTTTACTGCATTTGACAGTTTTACATATTCCTCCAGTGAAAGAGTTATCAAGGACTTCTCCTCTGGGCTCTCCTGCCAGAAAATTAAACCTAGAAATAGAGCAATTTCAAGAATTCAATAGATGTAGAGCAATCTTTAAAATTTACTTTACTTATGTAAAAGAAATCCCTCTCTTAGACATTTTTGACTCATGACAAATGACTTGAAGGAAAGAAAGCCCATTTTTTTCCTAGTCCACAGTAAAGCATCCGGAAAGGTCGAGAAGCCAAACTCAGCCCCTCTGGTCTGTCAGGTTCCCCTTATTCCACTCACTTAGTTGTTCTGGGCTTTCGACACGAAATAAAATTTGGCTTTATAATTATTTCATGACATATAGAACCAGCACTAACTTCAGAAGCAAATTATGAAATAAATTACCACGTAAATAATGTCATTGTTGGCCCACTTTTTCTTCAGTATGATAGAGTAAAGAAATTCTTGTAAGGCTCTAATGATCAAATATTAAGAGCAATCATTTAATAAAATCATAGTGATATTGTTTTTATTAACTAGTAATAATATTTAAAAGTTATTTAACAAATGCTTAATGTTCAATACTACTTACAGCAAGTCATGCCCTGTTTGATCTATATCTACTATTAGTTATTTAAAATTCATGATAACCATGTAGTGTAAATAAAATTATTATATCCATTTTACAAATGAGGACACTGAAGCATAGAGATCAATTAGCTTAGCACAAATGAAGTATTTAAGAAATTTTTTTTTTGGCAGATAAAAAGTTCTCCAAGATGTTAATAGTTTTCCAAATTCTAATAGATATTAATATATACTCTGTGGGGAAGAAAAGAAAGAAGTTTTGTGTCAAAATGCTTGGTAATGCTAGATTACATGTGGTGAGATAATAGAAAATGTACATAGTGGTCTTTGCACAGAACTCCTAAGAGCCTTGTAATCTCCTCGGTGATAAGAGCACTAAGTGTGTCTTTTGTTTTAACATTTAGTCTTTGACCCTGGATTGCAACACAGGGCTCCTAAATCTCTTGGAATTTCCTGGGTGATAGTGTTGTCTTTTTTAAAATTTATTTTCCAATAACAGTTGACAGATAATATTGTATTAGTTTCAGGTGTACAACATAGTGATTAGGCATTTGTATAACTTACGGAGTGATCACCCTGATAAATCTAGTATCTATATATGCAATTTTTCTTTTCCTAATGACGTGATTCTTGGTAGCCTCCTGGATGGCAACTGGTCATCAGAAAGATCAAGCCTTGATTAGAAGCTTAGAATTTTAATCCCACCTTCTATTCTCCAGAGGGAGGAGAGGGCTGAAGATGGAGATAATGATCAATCACACTGACACGATGAAGCCTCCAAAAAAAAAATCCTCCAAAAAAATAACCCAAAATCTAGGGTTCTGAGAGCTTCCGTTTCGCCCAGAAACAGAGGTGCGCCCAGAAAGGGCATGAAAGAGCAGAGCTTCTTCCCACACACCTTGCCCCTCCTCATGCTCCCAACTGTGTGTGTTCATCTGCTTCCTTTGTCATACCCACTCATAATAAGCTGGTAAACAGTAAGTAAATTGTCTTCCTGGGCTCCGTGAACCCATATAGCAAATGGATCAAACCCAAGGAGGGGGTCAGTGGGAACCTTCAATGTATCAGGAGTGCAGGTGAAGTGGCATCTGAAGGGGGGTGGGCAGGCTTGTGGGACTGAGCCCTTCACATGTGGCACCTGACTCTAACTCCAGGAAGACAGTGTCAGAACCGAGTTCAGCGGCAGGACTGTCGCCCGCTGGTGTCACAGAGAGCTGCTTCGCTGGGGAAGCTCCCGCACGCCTGGTGCCCGAAGAGTGAGGGCAGCGGCAGTGTGAGAGTAAACAGGTACATGGAGGAGGAATGGTGCATGAGTTACAGCTCAGTGAGGTTGTTCAGAAAGGGGGTGATTCCTGTGGGTTCTGTAGGATGCACCTCACACCCGAATGGCTGCAAGCACAGTTCGGGGTGTATTCTCACTCGTAGCTGAATTTGTATCAAAATGGGTAGTTGGGGGAGGAAGTACGAGGAGGTGGTCTGGTAAGAAATTTCCAAACGACTTAAGTTAGCAAGACAAACACAGGCATTTCAGACTCAGTCATTTTCATTTCCTGTCTTAAGAGCAATTGGTGAGGAAAAAAGAACTGCTGGCCTTCTACGGCCACATGCTCCGTACTTAGGAGTGTGTCACAGGCCGGGAAGAGTTGAACAAAAAATGGCCCCCAGGTCCTGAGGAAGCTCTGAAGGTAGCAGCTGCTTGCAGACAGCCTGCAGACGGGGTTTCCACTTCCACGGAGGTGGCTCTCCCAGGCTGTGCCTGAGGAAGCTTTTACGGGTTAAGTCAACAACACAGCAGTTTTCAGCCTTATTCTTTTAAATTGACTTTAAATATTATGGTGTTTCAAATACATCATGGATTTTAATACTGTAGATTTCTAAAGGGCTTCTGTTTACTTTGGTTTAAGTGTCATATTTTGTAACTTTTTGAATTTCTTTAAAAATTATATATACATATGTAAATATGCTGGTGCGCACATGTGTGTATATTTGTATCTTGGCTGAACCCGAAAGAAAAATAAATAGCCTGCTAATATTCCTTCAGATTTAAGACCCGGTCACTGATGTTGGCAAGGAAAGAATGTTGTTCTGTCTTGTTAAGTTCTTCCTTGGGGAGGTGCCATTTAAAAAGAGGGATAGCCACCCAGGAAGCTACCTTTTGTGGGTGGAAATGTGTCAGAGAGGGGGCAGAGATTCTAAGGCCAGCAGATTAGACAGAGATTCCAGTAAGTAGCTCTCAAAACTCAGTTCCTGGGGAGGGTAGGAGAGAACTGGCTGTCCCGAGCCAGTAGGTTTTGCTCATTTCTGAGAATCCTTGAGACAACAGCTGTGCTTGGCAGAGGACCACATAGTCCCTCTGTCAAAGTGCACATAGCATGTGGTCCTCCCATCTGTAACTCTAGAGCAGAGTGTCCACACTTTTGGCATCTCTGGGCCACACTGGAAGAAGGGTTGACTTGGGCCACACATTAAATACATTGTGACACATAATCACAAAAAATCTCATAATGCCTTAAGTAAATTTAAGATTTTGTGTTAGGCCACATTCGTAGCCATCCTGGGTGGCATGCAGCCCACAGGCTGTGGGTTGGACCCCCCAGTTCTAGAGTCTAGGCCAACAGAGCAAGAGGTGAGTGTGTGATGTCACCCCTCATCAATCAGAACATTAGAAAACATGGCTTTCGAGTGGGAGTTTTGGCTGAGGTTTCCTTCCAGGGAAAGGAAAAAAGGGAAACCATTTCTGCACATTGCTAAGAATATGCTGTTGAAACACTCTCATTGAAACCAATTCTAATTAGGAATTCCTAGGACAGAACCTCAAATAAGTTTGTAACATCCAACATACTGGTGAGGAAACTGCAGCCCAGAGTTGTTCAATAACTTGGTTATGATGTAGTGAGTTCATGCAGAACTAGGTTTAGAATCTGGCTCCGCTTACTTCCACGCTAATGGCTATTCCATTTTACTGCTGCCCTTGAGTTTGGTTCAACAATTTCCAGTTTTCATTCCAATCAAATGGGGTTGTATATGCAATGGCTGCTGTTTATCTTTTAATGCTTCATGCTATGCAAGTCTGGCAGCATAAATGAAAAATTAAAAAAAAAACAAACAAGTCCAATACAAAGTAATAAATGCCTATAGCAAACGATTTGCTTTCTGGTCAAAAATGAAAGGGAGATTTCTTGATCATGGGAATAGGAGAATACAGGGGATTATCTTGACTGACTTTTCTCATGCTTCCAACACAGGCTTAGTTCTTCTGTTTCCATTGATTCCTCTTACCTTGTCTAAAGTTTTCTAAGTCATTGGCTCAGTATGATAAATTTAGGATCCCCTGCCAAACCTCCAATGCTCTCACGACTTTAAGTAGGAACATCAGAATTTCCGAGCGCTAGTCAAAGATCGGGACGAGGGTTGAACGGTCTCCTGAGGTTTCCTCCAGTCTTTGTTGAGGCGGTTACGGTCCTGAAGTAGCATGAAACAGTGGCAACGACCTGGATTTTGAAGTCTGTATTTGAATCTTGTTCTACCATTTACTAGTCCGTAGTCGTAGATGGGTTATTGAACCTTTCTGAGGAGCAGTCTGTAAGCCGAACAAGGGCCGGGTGGTACTGCAGGTCTCATCTTCGGCCTTTAAGCGGTACTGACTCCTCACCCATCACATCGTCTATGGGAGAAAAAGCTTCGGACATCCTAGCCATGCTCACTTCACCTCCCACTCTCTAAACTTTTTCACCCTATTGTGTTTTTTTTTTATCACCCCGTTTTTCTGTGTTTGCCTAAGCCATTTCCTGTGGCTTGTTCTCCCATTATTGATTCAGGGCCTGACTCTCACCCTTGAAGACTGGTTTTGCTTCTCTAGTGTTTGGACTTTTGACACAATGTTAGGCATGCTTTTCAGATGCTGCTGTTCTCCATTTGCTCCTGGCATCTCCGAGTGGCTACGCACCGCGCCCCCCACCGCCCCTGAGACCTGGCCTCAGGCATCGGCCCTGGCGCCCCCAGCGTGGTGGGCCTCCCACGAGTTGCCCATTACCTGCTCTACAGCTGTCGGAAAGGATGTACGAGGATGAAGACAAGCAGCAAGTGTGAAGGGCTCATAACACTGCCTGGTCCAAAGAACCGTGAAAATGCTAAACAATTTTATTTCCTAGGAACGGGGGCCCTGGCCACATGCTGCCTGAGCGTGGTAGCCACGTGCCAGAGACAGGGCTGGTAGGAGAGGTAAGAGGTTAATGAGGAAGCGGACGATGTGTCTCATTGCCCCGTTGCTGCTTCTAGCTCATTAGCTCTGAGATGCTCTTACTCCCCAAAACAATAAAAGGATGTTACATACCCAGCACCCATCAAGTACACACTAGGGATGGGCTCAAACTTCCGTGAGCAGACGACTTTCTTCCTCCCACAATCCCTTTCATCTGAATTGTCTCCGCAGTCATTTTCTCCATTGCATTCTAATTTGCTGGCAATGCAGCGGCCTAGTCAAGAAAAGCAAACAGCAACATGGACAACAAATGATCGTTTAAGACAGTATTTATTAATAGGAAACATTAATGCTTTCAATTTCAAGGAAAAGTTAAAAGTACGTTTTCTTTATTTTGTAACTGACTCAGCCAAACTCAGGCTTTACTTTAAAAAAATTTTTTTTAATTTCTCAATTACAGGTGACATTCAATATTGTCTTACTTTCAGGGGTACTGCCCAGTGGTGAGGTATTTATGTAACTTACAAAGTGATCACCCAATAAGTCTAGCACGCACCGGAGTTTTTGTTATTTTTGATAAAGATTTAGGAACATATGGAAATGGAATGATTATTTAGTCACCATGGGGCTGATTTCCTTAAATAAGAGAATTAAGTTTAGAATCCCATTCCCATTACAGTGAGCTTTCTGCAGAAATCATCCTCTGCAGGGGAAAATGAACAGTAGGTTCCGAATTTTGTTCTGACCCGCGATAGCAGACTTCAGGTCACTGTTTTATTTTAAAACTCTTAAATTTTTACACACACACACAGATGTATAGTAATATGGCCAAATCTCTAAAATTTTACATTGAAAAAGCCACACACATAAGAATCATGCTACATGATTCCTTTATATGATGTTCAAGAATAGAGAGTGGGATTAACTGGAAAGGAGAAAACAGGAACTTCTTCAGGTTTATAGATATTTTCTATATCTTTATTGGGGGCTGTTTACATGGATGCACACATTCATCAAAATAAAACTGCACACTTATTATCTGTGTATTTTACTATATACAATTATTTTACTGTACATAATGACTACGTTTTTTATTATATAGCCACTATGTATAATTTACTGCATAGACTTGTTTTACTACATATAGTTTATTTAATTATTTTTTGGCTAAGTTAAGTGCCTCTGTGATAGGGTATTAGTTGGCAGGTTAAATGAGTGAGGTTAGCAAATAGGACAAACTTCAGATACTTAGGTAATTCCTTTCCCTTTTAAACTTACTGAGTTTCGTAAGGATCCTTGGAATCAGTCACTACATGTTACAGAAATGGAAACGCCTTACAAACAATGACAGCCTCTCTGCTGTTCCTCCCTTTCTTGCCTGTGACCGTGGGGTGCTGCTGGCACCCCACCGCTCTGCGCAGGCCTCACTGACAACAATTAAATGTTTCACTCAAGATGATCTGGTTAACCATTTTAGGTTATGATCAGCATCTCCCTAGAGCTATGTGTGACTATTTTGACTAAATGAAATGCATGGGGAAACTGGGTATTCTTTTGAATACATTTTTTTTAATTAATAGAGAGTTCCCCCAAAAGCACTTATTTTTAACTCTTTTGGTTAATAATTCTCACTAGGGAGATAAGGTGTAATGGAAGTAATTAAGTCATTTGACTATTCAAAACCTTATATTGTATCTAGTCTAATATTATAAAGAATAACAGTTATACACCCCAGAATCATATGAGACTGAAAATACAGAAAGAATAGAATTTCTATTAATCCCAGCATATAACCTGGAAGATCCTCTATTTTAAAAGAGCACATTTCTAATTTTGTATTTGTTTGTTTGTTTACATGGCAGAACAGAATGGGTAATTTAGTTTGAAATAGAGATGTTTTCACTAAAGAAAAAACCTCAAATATTACATTTTTAAATGTTTTGAATCTGACACAAATGTGAGCAAAAGCTAATTTTTGATATGGCTACACTAAAAAAATTCCATTTTATCAAACAGAAGTAGGGATACCCATGCAGGATACAGTTCTCATTAGTCTCACTTCCTGTGCAGGGTACCAGATTTGTTACAACACAAGAAATTCTATCTATTTGTACTTCTAGGTATAGTGGAGGAGATCTATTAGTAAGAGTAGGAATGAAAGCAAAAGGCCATCTCTTGAGTGATGTTCAGGAATGAGTGGCATGTGCGTTATAGGCCTGGTGGGACACAGCTAACAATGGCTCCAGGCCACAAAACTCAATGGAGTAGGAAGCACCCAGGGAGTGAGACTGTAAGCATACATATACCCCATACCAAAGAAGGGGTGGGAGAGTGCAGGGCAGTCTGGATAGTGCAGGCTTGCAGAAGTCAGCAATTAGCCAGCTCATGCACAAAATACACATACACTTATGTCTGGAGCCATATAATCATTTAGAAATTGTACACTTTTCCTATTTACTTGAACTGATATTTTTCAGTTGCATAAAAATGTTTGTTTTTGTTTTCTTAAAATTTTTTATTGTTGTTCAACTACTGTTGTACCCATTTTGTCCCCATTTCTCTTCCCTGTCCTGCCCACCCCCTCTCCCACATTCAATCCTCCCCACTGTTGTCTTTGTCTATGGGCCCTTTATACACGTCCTTTGACTTGACATTTCCCCTTCTTTCCCCCATCATTCCCCCTCAGTTTGTTCTTTATTTCCATGTCTCTGGTTTATTTTGCTCACTTGTTTGTTTTGTTGATTATACTTGAACTGATTTTTGTAATTGCAATGACATATTACTTTTATAACCAGCTGCAAATTCTCTAGTCTTCCATGCTTAAAACTAGGGTTTGGAGAGAGAAGTTGGCACAGTGCATGGAGGTTAGACTCATGGGTAATTCTCAAAGATTCATTAAGCTAATATACTTAATCTTGGGGACTCCAGGAAGACTCTGAACAAAAATTGCGAGGGAGGAAAGGGAAGAGGGAAACTCTTTAGGATAGATAGCGCTTCGGCAATTGAAGCCTAAATATCATCCTGAGTCAGACAAATGATGGTCCATCCAACCTTTTATTCCCTTTGAGAGTGGCATGAGAGGATGGCTTTAGGAGGACATAGCAGTAGAACATTTAACAACCAATAGGCCATGGCACAACACAATCAGAATGGTTGCCAGCAAAGCCTATGCCAGCGATTAACCAGTGAATGGTTGAATGATGGGAAGCTCTAGGGGTTCCTGGTGAAGGAGACTGGACAACAGGGCAGGGGTTAGCAGGCGACTCAGGCTAACACCTGCTTACCAACCATTGCAGATGCATTCCAATAGTTTTGTTTTGTTTTGTTTTTTCCTATCAACGGCTGTGGACATATTGCTGATGAATGAGAGGTTAGTTGTGTGTATGCTGCTAACTGTCCTGAAATCACTCATTGTGAATTGGTGGCCTATGGATGTATCTAAACCCTTCTTAAACTTGTGTATATTTTTGGCCAAAACAAAGCTTTTTTAAAAAAAATTATAGAATTTATCATTTATTAAATAAACAAGTTTTCCCTGGTAATTTGTTCTAAAAACTATCCTTTAAGCTTCAAATAATTACACTTCAGCTTGAAGTCTTTATCTTAATATTCTGGACCTAACGCTTGAGTCTATATCTTCCTCAGCCATTGCCATGAAGATTTTCATCAGAATCTCACGTGACCTTGTTCCTATAGACACAATCACTATCTACCTACCCCCTGTCCCGCCCTCTTATTCCAGGTATAAGGGAGCAGGGCACAGAGGGAAAACCCTGACACCTGCATTTCTGTCTGACATTTAGAAAAGACTGGCAAGGCTGAAGGCAGGAAGCAAGGAGCAAAAGGAGAAAAACCTCTACGTCTAAGGTCTGGGGTCAATTTTCTATGGAATTTAAAATCTGCTATTTAGTTATAAATACCTTACTTTCCAGTGTATTCCAGAGTATACAGAAGTGATGTAAATTGTATTCACCTGAACTCTAAATTTAGCTTTGAATGGGCTATTTAGATAAGAGATCAGTGAACTATGCCCCATGGTCTAAAACTGACCTGCTGTCTGTTTTCGTAAATTAGACTTGACGGGAACACAGCCATGCTCATTTGTCCACAGAACTGCCTATGGCAGCTTTGATGCGAAGACACCAGAGCTGGGTAGTTGCAACATAGACCTTGGACTGGCCAAGCCTGAAATATATACCCTCTGAGCCTTCACTGAGCAAGTTTGCAGAAATCTGATCTAAACTATTCAATATGGTGAGCATTGAAGAGTTATTAATTAGTGATAAAATACATTAAGGAGTATATTTGAGATTTGATTATAATCCAGTGAACATTAACTGAATTTATAAATCTGGATGAGGATTGGACTTGAAGGGAATGGTGCCATTGTTCAAGTCATTTTCAGTCTCCCCCTTTGGAATTAATTTTGAAGCCATTCAGTGGACCACCCCAGGGCATTTGTCACATCATCTCTAATCATGCCCCTGACATAATACCTTAATATTAGTACTCTCAGCATAATAAATTATAGGAAGCCTTTTTAATCTGCCACTCCTTTTCAATTGCTTATTCTGATGATAGATTTGTGCTTATTACTAGCCAACTTTTAAAAGTATCTGCCCCCTACTCCTTTCCCTCCTCCTCCTTTCTCTTTTCCTGCTTTATAACAGCATAGAGACTTGGGTACTTGATGAGCAAAGGTGTCAAGTAAGTGGCCAAGATGGTTATAGTTTGAAAGCTCTAATTTCACACATAGAAAGAGCTTGGTAATTGGCGGTATAACACCTTCATCGCCCCATGCTTAAAATTTGGTGGGATTTCTCTATCACAGCTTTTCCTGGAGTCGATTGGAATAACTATGTTAGTCGAGGTATTTTTAGTAGAGGCCGAATATTTTCTAAAGGTACATTACCACTGTCACAACGGAACTTATTCTTGCAGTCAATCTCTTCGATTTTGCAGAGTTTAGTTGGAATGCATGGTTGAAAATCCACCAGGGACTCAGTGCACGGTTGTCCTTTAAACTGACTGGGGCGCAGCATAGGCCTAACCTTAAACTGAGAGAAAAGGAAAGATGAGTAACTCAGGGGCAGGGCGAAAGCCAACATGTATCTAAGAAAACTGGGCTTCTCTCTCACAGTAGTGATTTTGACTACAGCAGTGTTTCCTGTATGAACTAGTGGTTTTTCTGATTCCATCCTTGTGTGTCCTTCAGGAAGTGGAGCAAGAAGAGTTCTAAGACTTCCAACTCTAAGATCATAGAGCTCCAAATTTAATTGAAATCTAATGCACAGATATTTACTGAATCTCTCCTGAGTGCAGATCCTTCCGGGGAATAATAATAACAGCCCTTCTGTAGCTCAAAGAGAGTGTGGCATGAGTGATAAATGTGAAAGGGTTTGGGGTTTTTTTGCACAAGGAAGTCACCATGGAAACCAAGGTTGACACATTCTCTACACTTTAAAAGATTTTAAATGGTGAGTAGAACAGAGAGTTGGAGAAGAATAGAAACATGACAGGATTAAAAAGTTCTGACTTTGACGTCAGAAAAACTTGAGTTCAGAATAGAGCTCCCACATCCATCAGTGGTGTATTCTTGAGCAAATGACTTAACTCCTAATGAGCCATAACTTCCTCATCTGTAAAATGAGTAAAGGACCACAGGGTGGTGTGATGTTTGAATAAGGTCATGTACGTAAAGGGCCTGGACCAGCTTAGCTCAGAGAGTGGGTGCTCCACAAATGAATTTCTTTTTCTCCCTTAACGTACAGTTTGCTCAGGACCTGCCCTGACTGGATTCGCACGGTCAATGTCCTTACAGGTGGGTAAATATTGCAGCTGGGAACAATAAACAAACTGAGGGACTTTCCCATGGAGAGAGGGAAATAAGAGAAAGGGCAAGGGGGCAGACTTTTATTAGTGTCTTGAATTTGTCTGATTTTAAACCTTGGGCGGAGATCCCCATTTTCTGGCACCTGATTTTGCTTCCTGGGTTATCAGCGGCACAGACCCAGGCAGTAGCAATACAACTTCTGGGGACAGGATTTCTTTTTGGTGGTCATGCAACAAGCAAAACATGTAACATGGAACCCCATGACCCTCCAAAAATTACTAGATGAAATTTTCCTTCAGTGGAAGGTCAGAAAGCTTATTTTCAGAAATTGAAGAAATCCAGCATTTCTGTGATTGTTGAGCCTTTCGGGGAAGCTGAGCCTTTTGATTGTGTTCAGATTTCTTGACTATGTCCATGTGCCACCCACCTGTTTTTCAACACAAGGGTCACAGTCTGACCATGGTCCATAATCTCCCAGGAGGCAGTTGATAGGACAAGCTTGCCAGTTACAATCTCTGGTCTCGTGGAAGGTGCAAAGCTGGCCACAGCTGTTCTTCACATAGTAGTCATTTATTTCTCTGTGTCTGTAATAGCAAGGAACAATCTGGTTAGAGTGAGTATATTCACTGTGGTTCCAGCCCAGTAAGAAAAATATCGACAAGTGTTAACTACAGTGAATAAAAGGAAAGAAGGTTTTCATGAGAAACCAGGTGGGTTGGCATTGTGCAGGTCTTACCTCTTCAAGGAACTCAGGAGCAGGTACCTAATTTATGGGGCTCAGTTCAAAATAAAAACAGGGAAGGGGGCAGCTCTTACTCAAAAATGAAGACTCTCAAGACAGTGAAGGAAGAGCATGAAGTGAAGCATGAAGCCCTTCTCAGTGGGGGCTCTCGCCCCAGGAGGCTGGCCCTGATGGAATTCCCGGGAGAGACCGGACAGGGAAGGCTGGAGAGGAGAAAGTTCTGCAAATAGCTTACAAGGCGACAGCACAATGTGATAAGTACAATGACTGAAGTCAGGGTGATGTGGGGCCACAGAGTCAAAAAGAAAGTGACACAAGAGATACATCTTGGAAAAATGCCACGTGACTTCTCCAGGCAACAAAGGGAAGGGCATGCAGAGGGAACGGCAGGCGCAAAGGCGGCAGGTGGAGCAGCGGGACAGGCCTGTGGAGGAGCTTGGGAGGTGCACGGCTGGAAGGAACCAGATTTGTAGTTGAACTTCAGTTGGTAGGCGGTAAGAGAGCTGCTGAGGGACTCTTCGGCAGAAGACTGTTATAGAAAAGTCTGGTTTTGTACACATCATGATGGTTTATTGGGGAAGTCAATTTGGTTATTTTCATGAGACTCACACGACATATGCAAAACTAGTTTTCTAAAATAGATCTCTAAAATGTGCTCTAATAGCTAAACCACATTAAATATATGCCTTTCTCCCTCAAGTCATGTGAGCATCTCCATTGGACAGAAACACCCCACAGATTTTTAAAAACTGCTGGCGACAAGTAGCCTGAATTGGTGAAAAGGCTGAATTATTGAATGTGATTAAGTCAACCTGGTTTTCCTGCCTTCTCGTACATGCCAACAATCAAGCTAATAGCTGGCAGTGCTGCTCAGTTGAAGTCCTGTTAGACTCTTTAATGAGTAGAAAATTCTCTATAATTAACTCACTCACTGGTGGCAAGCAGAGTTATATGCTGATTGAATAAAAAGCTTGAGTAGTGATTCTAAGTAAATAGTCAACTGAAACAATCACACAGATTCTTAATCAAATTTCTTTGAAACTCCTCAATTTTATGGAGAGAACAGAAATAGACTTCCATTCAACCTTACGTGGGAAAGACCACAAACCCCATCTGAATTCATGAGTTCTTATTTTGAGATATATTGTTTTATCCCATTACTTATTGTAGTACTTTTGATATTGCTAACTTGTCTCTGAGGTTTCCAGGGCTCACAAAAAAAAAAAGCTACATAGCTCACACCCACCTAAATCTGCTTTGGGTTCCAGTATTGCAGGTCTTTGAGCAGCTGGACCACTCGCTCCATGGGTAATGGTCACAGTAACAGGCTTGACTCTTGTCAATCAGAGCACTCAGCAGGATGACATACAAGATGGAGTGTCTGGCCATGTTTGAGCGCCCCCAGGCCCTGAAAAGGAAGGATATATAACATGTATCAAAGATTTATTCAGGGTAAAGCTTTACAAATCATTCTCAGTTAGAGACGTAGATATTGTCTTAGAAAGCATCAGTGTCTCCCTGCCTTCCTTGAGGCACGTTAACACTTATAAACTTCTATGTTTGTGAGTATAAATCCTATTTCTAAAGAATTTTACGGTAAAGGTTCCTATGATTACAACCCCCAGTATAAGTAAATTTCTCTGAACTGTTTGCGATAGGCTACAAGGCAAAGTACAGATATATATTTGAAACCCATTTCATTCCAAAATGGGAATTCTTATAGAACCTTATACTTCTCAAAACAACTGTTCATTTTGTGTGGGCAGGACCCTCAAGCACATTTCAGTTCTTCGTACTTTTCTGGGCCTGGGAAATGAGTTAGGACCATTCTCCTGGAAACTCTATTCAGTTTCCTGACATCCTGGAAAACTGTTAATCAAAAAACAAAAACAAAAAACTCATAGACACAGATAATGGTATGGTGATTACCAGAGGGAAGGGGGTCGGGGGAGGAAGAAGAGGCTACAGGGGGGTAAATGGTGATGGAAGGAAATTGCACTTGGGGTGATGAACACACAGTATAATATACAGATGGGGGATTATAGAAATGTACGCCTTAAACCTATATAATTTTATTAACCAATGTCACCCAGATAAAGTCAATAAAAAAGGAAAAAATAGCCTGAGAAATTTTAAAGAGTGCGTACTGTCTGATTACCTCTACCTTCAGAGTCATAGAAGTTGGAGCTAGAATAGATCTTTGAAATCTGCAGGTTAAACTCCCTCATTTTGTGGATGATGAAACTGAGGCTTAAAGAAGTGCATTAACATTGAGGCTGGATGACAAGTAAGAGCTCATGACTCCTCATTCTTGGATGAGATGCATCCCGTCATTGAATTGGTAGTAACACTAGTTATTGTGTTAGTGGAGCATCTCTCAATGCTTGATGCTCTACCACCTGGACCTCAAGAGGATTCATCCAGATGTGGTCGAGCGCCAGAGAAAACTTTGACCAGTAGTTCCTGCGGGTATGCTGTGGAGCCTTTAGGGCCTGTGAATTATTGACTGGAATTTGCAAAGCCATCTCTGCCCCCTAATATTGCCATTTTGACCTATATATCTCTGGCAAAACATGCAACATGATTAAATATATGGAGAAAATACTGCTGTAATTAATATAGTAACTTTCATTTAAAGAAGTAAAATTCCTTTTGCCTAATTTCTTTGCCTCAGTTTCATTATCTGGAAAACAGGAATAATACTTTTACCTTCTTCATAAGGTTTCTGTTAGAATTCAGTAAGCAAATTCATGTAAAGTGCTTAAAACAATTCTTGGCATAGAATCATCACTCAGTAAGTATTAGTTTTTTAAATTAATAACATTTAAGAGTGTTGCAAATTTAATTGCAACTGTTGGTCGTGCATTTTTCAAAAGTAGGGGCTCTTTGAATTACAGCAGGGATCATGTGACGATCAAAAATATGTTTTGATATTGAATACTCAGAGTGATGTAGACATATGGTTTCAGTTACTTTCCGCCTCACAGATGAAATCTTATTGGATGTTGCAGTTTCCCACCAGTGTTTCACCTCCCTCTTCACTGCCTTGATTTTCTCTGCTACACATCCCCTCCTATATATAAACTATTATTTAAGTTTCAATGAATATCTCCCCTTCCCTTTCTCCTCCTTCAGTGGAATGGAAACACCATGGAAGTGAATCTTTTTTGCCTGTTTTGTTCATGTTAGCATTTAGAAGACTGAGAGCAAGCATAGTATACAATAAATATTGAAAAAATTGATTGGGTAGAAGAAACAATTTGCAAGTGGGTCTTAATGAAATCTGAATAATGAATTTTGATTCCACAATTACAGCAACTTCTTGATACCACTCTTAATATTTCTGCCAGATTAAGGATATTTTACAGACTTTAAAAATGAACTTGTCCAATTGTCATTCATTGTTTTAGCAAGAGTGGTAATCTGGTTAATCTCTAGCTTGTTATAATAGTTGATTGAAATAAAAAACTAAAACTCTTGAGATTCAGATTTACTTTTGAATACCTGTAATTTATTTACTTAGCCATATATATATATATATATATATAAAATTTATATACACAAAAAAAGAGAACATATGATATACACTCCTCTGCACTTTGCTCTTTTCACTCCACAATATGCTTTGAAGATATTCTCATAATAACATATGCATACCTACTTAATTCCTTTTAATGGCTACATAATTTTATACCATATGGATGTATTATATTAGATTTAATCATTATCTTAATTGTGGACATTTAGTTTATGTGCACACTGCAAAGAACATCTTTGTAATATATCTTAGCATAATTTTGTAGTACATCCATGGGGTAAACAGATGTATAAGCAAAATGGCTCAAACAATATGTAAATTTAAACTTTTGGTAGATATTGCCAAATTGCCTTATTGAAATTTGGCTCCTTCCAGTGCCTCAAAGAGTGAGTTTCTGATTATATTTTAATGTGGTTGTTTTACATTTCTTAGTTGTAATGAAAAAGTACTTCAGTGGGAAAAAAAATAGAGTTCTCATTTTATAAATTTTTGTTCAAGCCAGAAGCTTGAGATCAGATATAAAAGTTGTTTTTCCAATACACTAAAAAATTAGAGCATTCCTTTGTAATAAATCAGTAAGCTTTCTGAACTTTCTTACAAGCTCAGAGAAGAATGCTGGAATAAAAGCCACCAAATTCATTGACATATGACTAAATATGTCTTTCAGTTTAAAACGGAATCAGCACACATTTGAGTACCCATTTTGTGCTGCTAGACATTGGTGAGATACAAAGAAATAGACTCCATTATGACTGTCTGGGAGTCGGGGTAGACAAACACAGAAGATGCTTTTTATCCAAGCTTTTTTTTCTCTAACTCATAGATAAGCTGCTACAGTCCAAGGCTATCTCAGTCATTAAGCTAAGCACTGCACTTCCTGCTGATTTTAGTTTTCTGGTAAGTACCTCGCCTTTCCTGGCTTCCCTCAGCAGCACAGAACCATGGGACATTAGGCCCAGAGTGTTCAGACAGAATTTAGGTTGAGATCTGACAGGAGGCTGTGAGGCCTAAACATCAGACCTGAGTTCAGATTGGGTGGGTTATTTTTTCTTTTCTTTTTCTTAATGTATAATTTGTAGGGTAATTTCTCAAGAAATTACAAATTATATCAGTAGTGGATGAATACATTTTCTCATGTAAATGAAATATTATATATTATTTCTTTATTACCCACAATTTCCACCTCCTCTTTCCAGAAGTAACCACTATTACCACTTTGATTATATACTTCCAGATCTTTTTCTATTCATTTACATTTCAATATTGCTTTCTTCTTTTTAAAATTTTTTTTAAAAATTTAAATACTTTATTATTTATGCAATTGCAGCCCTTGGGAGCTGAAGATTCTAAACAATGTGAAGTTTCCCTGTTTAATTAACTAAACAGATCACCATCCCATCCTCTCCCTCCCCTCCCCAATTGGGGTCTTCTTTTACAAAACTGCTTCGGCAAGGAAATATAAACAGAGTGTTTGGCTGTTTTGGCTGTTGTTTGTCTATTTGTTTTTTCTTACTGGATTTTAAAGAAATGGGTATTTTCCTGAATAATTCTCTCCATTGTAGAAAGAACAAACTCTGAAAGCATTTTGTACGACGAGGGCACCGTGATGGGAAAAGCTGAATTGTAAGAGGCTGCACGTTCTCTTGGTTTCCACAGACACTATTTTAACTCCCCAAAGCTTGAAAAGCAGAGGTGGCTTTTATCTCAGTTATCACCAGAAACTGCAAGAACAGAACCCCAAAACAATATTCCAATCTCTTCTTTGCCTATAATTGTTCTGAGGCAATTTAAAAACTGCTCTAAATTAAGGTGGTACATCAAGGCATTGTATTTGAGGGAATGCTCCCGGAAGAGCTCATGGGTAGCACCTCCTTTTGTAACATTTTATTGTTATGAGGAGAAATTGTTTTATGTGAAAAAGATAATTTTCATTCAAATAAAGATAATTAGTTCACTAAATTTTTTTATTCATGTCCCAGCATATAATATCAAATGGTTCCTTATTTGTTAATTTTCAACATCTCTAGGCATTTGGGAGATATCTCAAATTATATAAGGACATTTTACACATTACCATACAGTTTTTGTACAAACATGGAACGAAAGAAGAGAGCTAAGAAAATCTTCCACTGCAGGTCGAGGGAGAAGGACAGCAATTCTGCAAGCTTCTCATAATTGCCGTCCCCTCTTGAACCCTAAAAATCAGTGACCCCATGAATCACTGGAAATGGCTTTGTGAGCATTCAGAAAATGTTAGCGTAAGGTGAAGTCCACCTGATTTTGACCTGTTACCATCCCTCAATTTGTCTGTAAGGGAGCTCGGCGCATCTTAAAGGATAATCTAGTTTGCTCTCAAATACAGGTTCTTCCTTTCCATCTCCTTGTAAACTCCCTGAATCTTTTATTTCTTAGTTTTTCTTCTGTGCATGCCCCAGGAGCTCCAGAAATGATTTGTCATTGTTAATGTAGACTGAGGAGCCCCCGGCACAGGACTGATCTTTTAGCCAAAGGCTATGTTTGCTTAACTTTTAATCTTAAGCAACAAGGTAGTTCTATGGGAGAAAATTTATTAAGAAGCAGGAAGTTTTGGTTCTCTTGAAATTTAAGCAAAGTAATTATTGCTAATTTTAAAAAGGCAGAGAAATGGCTATCATTGGAGTTAACGAATTTTACACGTGAAAGGATAAATTTGTTGGAAGCACAATCTACAATTTTGAAAGGTTAAGATTACACATGAAATCATTACATCACTCACCTTTAAAACAGGACTTCCGGTGGCCAGGGAGTGAATCTGTAAATGCCTGGAGAGACAATGGGTGCTTACAATATGAAGGGTTTAAAAGACCATCCCAGCCTTCTACTCTGTTGCTAGCTGGCACAGGTAATGCCATCTTATCGCAGAGCCCTGCCGCACCTAGAGTGTGTTGTGTAAACATTCTGTGGGCGCTCTGGACTTTGTAAATGATTGCTCCAATCAGTAGTCACTTGCAAACTCCTAAGAGCGAGATATTCCCAGAGACTTGACTTTTCAATGACTGCCCCATTCAAGGGATGTTGTAATAAGTATTGCCACTGTAGAGAAAAGAAATGTTTGACTCCATTTAAAAAAACAAAACAAAACACCTCTTTAGAATAAATTGCTTGAAATTGCCTTCTCCTTCCCCTTTAGCAATAGTTAATTAAAACATATAGATTCTTATTTTTTTGTCTGATTATAGAATATTTTTTGAGGGAGGTTTAGAAAATATGAAAGAGTATAAAGAGAAAAATCAAAATCATTTTTAATGACCAGACAAAACTACTATTAATATTTGGAATAAATACCTCTGTTCATATAATATGTATTTGTCTCTGTGTAAGAATATACATAAGCATACATATATAAGTTTTAAATGCCATCACACACTTTTTAAAAGATTTAAATGTACAGAATTGATCACATTCCACAGTTTATAGAACCATATCATCATTGGCCTATGCAAAATGTTCTTTTTTATTTTATATCACTATTTACTCCCAATATCTTAATACATTTCTTTCTGAGAGTAGCTCCATGTATTAATGTATTTGGTGTTTGTCCTTACATGTGAGTATTTAGATATATGAGTATCCTTCAAAAAATACAAAGTCTTTATTTTCCATGGTTTTTTGTAATTTACAGAAATGGCATTTTGCCAAAAGTTTTATTTGCTCTCTTAACTCTCTTCATTCAGCATTATGCTTCTGAGCCTTACTGAATGTAAAACTACTGTAACATAGACACTCAGAGCGTGAACCACGTGTTGCCACTCTCTTAGCATGCACTTCTATTGCCTGCGGCTCGCTGCAAACAGAAACACAGTGTACTCTTTCCTTAAGAACCTGGGAGAAAATGTCTAAGGGCTTCCGGGTTGCTCTTTAGAAAAACTACACACTTTTATGCTCTTACCAGCACCTATGAGGACTCCTCACTCCTGAGTTCTTATTAGCAGTTGCTGTCAGCCAGCCTGCTGATGTAACATCTGATCTCTGCGAAGCAGCATCTCATGGTTGTTTAAATAGCTTGTCTTTGATCAGCAGTGAACTTCAGCATCCTTTTATTCTCACCAAACATTCTAATTTTCTATCTGTAAATTAAGAACTCATATTTTCTGATTATTTTTCTACTGTATTTCTTTACTTACTTTTGCTGCCTGATTTTCAGGTATGCCCCATTCATTCTAGATACTAATGCCTTGTAAATGTTGGATTTTGCACATTTCTTCATTTACCTATGTGTTAATTTTATCTATGGTGTCTTTGAAAAGAAAAATCTTAATTTTAATGTAATCTAATACGTTTTTTTCTCTGGTAGTTTTTGCTTTAGGTAATTTTTCTTTTGCTTATGAAATTATTTTTTTAAGAAAATACAGTTTTATATTTTATAAGGTGTTCTTTACTCCTCTGTTGTTACACCGTGTTTTATAAATGGTATGGGGTAGAATAAATAAAACAAAACCACCAAAACTTATCAGTTAATACATACAGAAAGCATTTATTAAAACTCAACACTTATTCTTGAAAAAAAACTTTCATCAAATTAGGAACAGAAGATAACTTTCTTAATATGATGAAGAGCATCTACAAAAAACTTGAGGCTAACATCATGGTTAATGGAAAAATACTGAACCTTTTCCTCCTAAGATCAGAGAGAGATAAGAATGCCTGCTGTCCCCATTTTTATTCAATATTGCACTGGACTTCTTATCCAGTGCAATAAGGAAATAGAAGACATCAAAGTATAATATTGAAAATAAAATAAATAAAATGGTATTATTCATGACAATTGCATGTGTAGAAAATTTCAATTCCAAGAATCTACAGGCACACACTAGAATTAATAAGTGACCTTAGTAAGATTGCTGGATACAAGTTTATAACAGAAAAAATTGTTTCCACATACCAGCAAAACCCAATAGTATATTTAAATAGATAGTAGATTTAAATAACAATTGTCAAGTGGCTTTTTTAAGCATCTAATGATGATTTTGTTTTTACAAAAGGTTCCCAATATAGCTTGAGATTGGCTAATATGGATATTATGCCAAGTTAAAGTAGAACAAAATAGTACAATAGAAAAAAAGAAAATGAGCCCTGGCTGGTGTGTCTCAGTGGATTGAATCCCAGCCTGCCAACCTAAATGTCACAGGTTCAATTCCCAGTCAGGGCACATACCTGGGTTATGGTTCAGGTCCCCAGTTGGGGGCATGTGAGAGGCAACTGATTGATGTATCTCTCACACATTGATGTTTCTCTCCTTCTCTTCCTCCCTCCCTGCCCCTCTCTCTAAAACTAAGTAAACAAAATCTTTAAAAAAGGAAACAAAAAAGAAAACAATAAGCAATGACAACATGGAAGCTTATATTTTACTTTTGATTCTGTAATAATCAGTTGTGTGATCTTCAATAAGTAGCTTTAATTCATTGAAACTGTTTCCTTATTTGTAAAATAAATGTTTTTCACACTTTTTTCAAAAGAGTAGAAAAAATATGAATTATATTCTCAATGTGGAAAACAGTGAAAAAATATTCCTCAAAAAACTTAAATTTTCACCATGTGGTTGGGAATGATTATCGCAGCAAGACTAAAGATTCTTTAAGGACAGTGGGGAACCACTAGTCGCAGCAACATGTTTTAACATGTGTGGTGGTAACATGCCCCAAACCAGAGTACATCACAACCACAATATAGTGTCTGATTTATAGTATGTTTTCTTTCTCTTATACTCTATTGGGACTTTAAAGATTGAAATTTCAGGCTAAGAAGGAAAGCAGAGTGGTGTGTTCAACACACTTTGGGGCTGGTGTAGCAGATTCACCTTGAGTATGTCAGATGATAAATAGGACAGAAAATAGTTTGTGACTAGAAAGAAAATATATCATTGAAATATATATACTTCTTTCTTTTGTTGGTTCTTTGAGGCCCTAAAATGAAAGACATTTTTCATTGGTCATGGTGTTTGGAGCTAAAGGCAAATTCTAGAAGTCGTAAGTTAAAGAGGTGAAAGTCAGCAGCTAGAGATGAGCCTAAATGGGCTTGTTAAGCAATGCGGGCTATGAAGACAGAGAAGTGAGGAGGTGGTGTGCCCTAGCACAGGAAAAACAGAGGTGGAGAGAGCGGAAGGTGGGGTGGAGGAATTCTTCAGATGGGGTGCAGATGTCTGTGATACAAATACTAGAACTGACCTGGTGTCAACTGAGAATCTAGCATCTTTTCAATAATGTACGTTTGCGTTCCCCATCTTATTGGTCCTTATGGATGATTTGATAATATATCCACTCAGGGTCTTTTTCTAGAGGAGGGTTTGGCAAACTACAGCCAGCTACTCATTTTGTAAATAAAGTTATGTCACTGTCTATGGTTGCTTTCGTACTACAACAGGAGAGTTGAGTAGTTGGAACAGAGACAGTATGGCCTGCAAAGACAAAAATATTTACAACCTGCTCCTTTACAGGAAAAGTTGAAGTTTCTAGTCTGATCAATGTAACCACAGTGTCCAGTTCCAGGAGGCAGAAGTAGTGTTCCTTGGGACTGATGGATGGGTGATTTTTCCAGAGCTACAGATAAAATGCTTGTGTGCAATTGTGCAAGAATCTGAGTGTTCTCTAAGTGATATTTGGATGCAAGTTGCTGAGAAACAGAGCATACTATGAATTCGCTAGCTGAGCTGTTTCAGCAACTTGCAGGCCTTCTAAAGTATTGGTTGGGGACATAGAATATAATTTTCACAAAAAATGTTTTCTATTTTCATAATGTAAGAAGTTGCTAGTGAGCTTGCATGTAGACTGACCCATAGAAAAACCTTTTGGTTGTAAAGGAACAGAAGGGTGTAGAAGGAAATCAGAGCCAGGACATGGAAAGTTATGGAACAATTATAATTTTTCCAGAAGGAGAAAATATACTTTGTTCAAAATCTTTATTCCTCTGCTAATGATGATAGATTTACAGTCAAATGATATTTTCTGCTAAGAAAATAACCCTAGACATGAGATAATGAACAGTGGAAGCTGCTGATTACCTGAAGGCTTTTTCATATGCTGAGTGTTCACATGCCATCTGATCAGAACAGCAAAAATACTGTAATTTCTCATTAGAGCCAAGGCTAATGGCCCCATCTATTTCACAAGTCTTTCAGTCAATGTGTGTGTGGATAAAGTGAAATTGCAAATTGAATTATTTCACATGGAGATTCATAGATCAAAACTCTCAAATGGAGGGAACACAAGTTTGGATTGGACCTCAGGCTACCGTGCTCTCTCTCTCTCTCTCTCTCTCTCTTTTTTACTACTAAAATTATTAGAATAGTCTAAGTTGGCTGCATTTGATTTATTACTATTGGTTCCTCATTGACTTCACTCTTTGCTATCTGGACTATAAACACAACGAACCTACAGGAACTACCCTCTCCGCGGCCACCAGTAACCCCCTAACTGCCAGATGGAGTGGCCTCGTCTCAATCTTCCATTGGCTTCTTGGACATAGGCACCTCTGAGGAAATTTCTCTTTCCTTCTACCATGAGTCTCTTCCCACTCCCATCTGGAAAACTATCCTCAGCCTCTTTTCTTTCATCAGATATTTTATCTACCTCCATGGGTTTATTCATCACATTGGTATTGATTGCCGCCTTGTCCACCAACCTCCGTATTCTAATGTTTACTACTCGTATCCAGATAGAAGAGCATATTTCAGGGATGGCATCCTGTCTCCCACACTTCCTCCATCCTAGATGCTAAGTCCTGTCTCTTCTCTCTGACGGGCCTCTTGTCTATGTACTTCCCATCTTTCCTACCTGTTCACCAAGTCTGTGGTTACAGCTCTCCATTCAGCCCCAGTGAACTCGCAAGCTAAAGATAGCATCAGTGACTT